CTGTTTGACGTTGCCATTCAGCTTGCAACATCCCAGCAGAGACCAGACCCAGTGCTTCAGATTGCTGTTTCAACTCTTTGCCACTCAGAGGTTTCTGAACAGATAAAGCTGAGCCTGCTCCCAGGACCGTGTTGTAGAACTCTTTGGCTTTATCAACCATATTCAACCTATAACGCATCCTCGCATGGCTCAGAACAATACCCGTCGGGATCTCCCATCTAAATGGCATCAATCTGGCTTTAAGCTCATTAACTAGGAAAGCATAATCTTTCCTGTTTCTTAAAATTTTTGATGGGATTTCCTTTAAAATGATGATATCTTGGGCTGCAATCTGGAATCTCTTATTATAAAAAGCTTGTATAATTTCATTACGCAGAGACTTCTTTGTAAAATAAATCACAACATCTCTAGGCAAATTCTTCTGCTTCGCAATCCAGGAGTTAACTCTGTAGATTTTTTCCACTTCTCTGCGTAATTCTCCTTTATCCATAATCATAGCAACAGCTAAATCAGTAAGCACCATCTCCATCAGGTCTTGATTCATGTCTTCCTTAAGACCCCTGATCCTCAGGGCATGCTCCATCTCTCTGTACTGAGACATAAGGATATCTTCTTGTGAAATCTCCATCTTCCTTTCCATATCTTGGAATTTATCCTCAAAAGAGTCAACTTTGTCTGCCACTTCCTCCACTCTCGAGTCCAGCTTCACCACCACCGTAGCCAAGCCTGATACAGCTGCAACTATATCTTGCCGCAAGATGGTATTATTGTCTTCTAATGAGACCTTCATCCCACTTAACTCTTCTTTAATTTCAGATTTAATCTGTGTAACAAGTTGCTTCATTTCATCTCTAATTTGGGATACAACATCTCCCATTATACCTTTAATCTCTTGTGCTGAGAAACCTGGCAAAGGAGGAGAGGGTGGTGACTGGGTCGGTGGTGCATGTTTGGGTTGTTGTTGTGGTTGTTGTGCAATTAAAGTTGTGGGAGAGGAAACCACCTTAGATGTTATAGAAGGCGGCTGTCTCTTTGAAGCCATTTTATGAAACACAGTTCTCTCTTCCCTTCTCCCCCCCCCAAAAAAGGGGAGGAGGGAAACAGAATTTAAAAAAAGGCAAAAATACTATAATCCTTAAAAGTCCGAAAAAGAAAAAGGAAAAAATCAAAAGAGAAATCCAAAACCAAAAAGAAAGAGATCAAAAACAGTCATTTAAGTCCAGTACTTTAAGAACAAAGAGACAAAAAAAAAACTCCGACACTTTCAAAACGCCATCTTATTTTCTCTCTCCATGCCAGCAAGAAAGAACAAAGGAAAGGTAGCCAAAACTAACTAAAAGAAAGAAATAAAACACTAAACTAAAAAAGAATCCTTTAGACCGCTGTGTCCGCTTCAAAAGTTACTCACCAAGACACTGTAATCGCGGAGATAGAGGCGGCGGTTTCTTTTGCTTCCAAAGAAGCAAAAACAGCTGGGAGGCGGAGATCAGCAGGAGCTCCGAGGGAACACTCCTTCCACCCCCTCTAGGAATAAATCCAGAGGGGGTTCAGGAGTTCTACCTCTACTCCTGCGTTCTCTATCCCTTCCCTTTGCCCGGGAAGGGAATTCCGAGCCGCGGGCCAGCTGATACGCGCTGTGCTCCGTGGTTCTGACACCTTCCCAGCTGGACGGTTACTAAGTAGCTGCCATCGCAGTCGCCCCGTACCGGAAGCTCTCCGCAAATATTTTTTATCATTTTAGTGTATTTTTTTTTTCCTGTTCCCTTTCCATTCTGTTGTGAAGATAGCAATTTTTGAAGCTGGAGATGGAGTGTTGGACCTTTTGGAAACTGTCCTTAATAGATGGTCAGTCTGCTTTGTTCTTATTTAGGCCAACTATTTTTGCACAAAGGAATAGGTTAACCTATTGCCCCATGCCCCAGATCTGACCAGTACATAATAGATTAAATTGTAATGAGCTGGTATGCAGATCCTCCAGGATTAAGGTGGCAGTGTTTTCATTAGCCAGTACTATAAAAATGTACTTTCCTTAAGATAGATTCCGCTTCCAAGAACATTGGATTTGGTTATATGTATGCCTCATATTCTTAGTATTTCTTCCTGTTATTTGTTTTATTCTGGTTTTGCTTGTTATAGATCCTGAAATCCTATCTGAAGCGCTGAATACTACTCATAAATTTATCTGGTGTCTGAGTTTTCAGTAGGCATCACTCTTGTGAAATGTGTGTAGATCAATTTTTCCAAAAAATAAAATGGAGACTCCTAGGCCACTAAAATATACTCCCCTCTCTTTCTCTTGCTCCTTAAGAATTGTGAATATTTCTATACCTCTATTCTTATCCAGTTCCAATTCATTTTAAAAATATTGATTAGTTTGGGTATTTGCATTCTCAGCACTTGAACATCTATGGGGGTGGTTTTTTTGCCATCTTTAGAGGTTTCTCTAGCAAGAGATTTGAAAATATAGTCAGATCCTGGGAAAATTTCTAGATGTCTTATCAATTCCAGAAAGATTAACTATGTAGCAAAAACTTGTAATCAGTGTATTCTGGCAAAGAACGGAATGGAACACCAACTTTATTAGATTCATAATGGATGTGGAAAATTGAAAAATGGGGCTTGGATGATGAAAGCTGTATAGTGGTTCAGAATGAACAATTCCTTGGTTTGGTGTCATGTTTGGAATTGTTAGAAGTAAGTCTTCATCCTGGTTCATCCAAGCCGGGAATAAATAAGCAACATGGAGACTGCTTTGGGAAGAAGGTTACAGTTTATTGAAGAAGCAGAAAGATGGTCCTTGCAGGAAGGAGCAGAGGAGAGGAAAGAGAGAGAGTACATGGTCAGTAGGGTTTTTTTATACCCTCTCTAGCCTTGTTTGGAATAGTTTCCTGTTCCTGTGGCATGAACCCTGAGGCTGTTTCTGAGTGTTTGTCTAGGCCTTGATATCTGTGGTTTAATCCTATTATCATAGCCTGCTTCCCAGGTGATGGGGCTAATGACTCCTAGAGTTTGGGTGGGGTATGCAGATCTTCTCTTTTGTCTTCTTGATTGCTCTGGCTTCAATTATCTGATGATTTTACATCTGCATTTGTATGGGGCTAAAGTCTTGCTTGGGGCAAAGAGATAAATTTGGGGCCAGGTTTGGTCTTTAAAAAAAAGTCCTTTTGAGGAAAAATATATTTTTCTGCCTCTTTAATATTTCCTTCTCTGGGCTAACTTCCCTCAGAAGCTATTTATATACTTTCTAAATTCTGGCTCCTCTTACCTACCTAAAATGTAAAACAACATTCCCTAATCTCATGCCTTTCAGATGTGCTAGATTGCAATTCCCATAATACCTAACCAACTGATCCTTGTAATTATAGAACATCTGGAAGGCTGTAACAAGATAGTTTATGTGCACAGCTTTAAATATTTAACATTAAATGTGAGATCTTACTGAGAAAGTTAAAGTATCAAAGCCATAACAATTGGATGGCACTATGATATGGATTGGTGGATAGAATGTGGTTAATATAGTTCACTGCTAAGAAAGAGAGGAACATGTACTTCCTCCAAACTAATGATAAGTTAAGTCCTGCATTGCGTTTTGACTGAAGATTGAATAGTGGAATATGAACATGACAACTTCTAATACTTTGTATCTCTCAGAAGCCAGGCTGGTAGTTGGAATAACCATTGGATAAGAGAATTTAAGGCCATAGGTTGGAATGTGTCAGTCTGTTTCCACAAAATGCCATGAAATTTTACAGAGTGGAGGAAAAAAAGAAGCATGGTATATTTACATTATAAATCTCTAATAAGATTTATAGCCCATCTTTCTTTCTCCACAAAGCAGTGCCAGAACAAGGAATGAATATCTATATTGCACTGCTATCAACAAGTGAGAGAGGATGGCAATCTGGCAGGTTGATTAATTTCCCAGGAATTTGTCAGGTAGTCAGAGGTCATGGATGCCCTCAGCAGGTACTCAGCAACATGGAACTTGTTAAGTTACCATCTACAATAGTGTTAGAAGTAAAGTCTTCATCCTGGTTCATCCAAGCCGGGAATAAATAAGCAAACATGGCGGCTGCTTTGGGAAGAAGGTTACAGTTTATTGCAGAAAGATGGTTCTTCAGGAAAGAGCAGAGGAGAGAAGGGTTGAGCACATGGGCTTGGGGTTTTTTTATACCCCCTCTAGCCTTTTGTTTGGAATAGTTTCCTGTTCCTGTGGCATGAACTTTGAGGCTATTTCCTGTGTCACGTATTCTGACCTGAGTTTAGGTGTGCCTCTATGGTATACTTGATGGTAATGGGTTAGTCCTATTATATCCCAAAAGTCATCTCCTGCTTCCCTGGGGCTGGGCTAATGACTCTTAAGAGTTTCTTTGTCTTGAGTTCCCTGGCTCCAACCTCCCTGATGGTTTTACATCTGCATTTGTATGAGGCTAGCTCTTGCTTGGGACAAAGAAATTTGGGGCCAGGTTTGGTTTCTGCTTTTCAAAAAATCCTTTTGGTGAAAAATATATTTTCCTTTTTAATATTTCCTTGGGAGGGGGGCTAACTTCCCTCAATAGTTTGGTGGATTACATGAATTCAGAGACTGAGCCCTGTGCAGGAGGCCATAATTCCTTCCCATTAATACATTGCCACACCATAGCAATAGTTCTGTCAACTGGGGAGGCAGAAGAATATGGTTTCCACCAAATTCTCAATGAAGTAGTAGAACTTATATTAAAAATTGAGAAATACTTCCAAAAATTGCTGGAGGCAAGGGCTACTTATAAAATAGGTTTTATAAACTTTTACTTCTTTCAAGAATGGTTTTTCAAAAATGGCTCTCAATCCTCACCCAAAGCGCACTTTTCAAAATTATTGGCAATTTATAGCCATTATCAATTAAAACTGTCATTAATATTTCTGTACTGCATAACTTCTTATTCATTGCTTTGTTTTCCATTATGAAAGTAAGATTTTCTTGAAGTGATGATTGAATCTTTTTGCCTGTCTTCATTTAGGGGCACCTGTTCCCATTTCAGTCTCGCCTCTACTATGTTGCATTTTCAGCATCTTTTCTGATAGCTGTTGCAAATGAAAATGGAGGAAATGACTTTGTCGGGCCTGGATAACAGCAAGTTAGAAGTAAGTTGCAAAGTGGTTGATAGAGTTCTTTTGAACAGAGTGAAGAGCCCACTGTAGTCAGAGTTAGCTTAGATGTGTATGCTATGAGTCATCTATCTGACATTTGTATATAGATATTAAGGAGATTTTTAAAAATGTCATGTTTCCTGAAAGTGAATACATTCTCTTTATATTGGGAAATATAATATATAATAATATACAGGTCTCCCAATGTCCCTTGTTCTTGCTGTTAAGACATTTTTGGTTTTGTTGCCTTGCAGGCTTTGGCTCATGATATTTATACTGACTTGATTGATGATGCTTGCCTGGGCTTGTGCTTTGAGGTACACCGGGCGGTCAAATGTGGATACTTCTTTCTGGATGATACAGACCCTGATAGCATGAAGGACTTTGGTAAGTGTGTGTTTTAGCCAGTGCCCCTTATATTTTTTTACCAGGAATGTTGCTTAGGTGTAAAACCTTGCTACATGGCATAATAGGACATACTATTTCAGGATTATATATACATTGGATTCATACAAGACATTAAACATGCTTCTCTAAAACTTGTCTACAAAACATATTTGTTTTGTTATGTCTGACATTTGTCTAGGATACATTTGTGCAAACCCAGCTATAAACTTATCCTCAACTAAGCATACACAGCTGCCAGTTGGGGTGCTATTTTTTTGTTTAAAATCAGACATACTTGCTGCCACATAACCTGGCTCACATGTGCACACACATTGTGCTCTGTCTCTTAGTAGCTGAGCTGACGACAACACCTGACTGTATATTTTTTGGCTCAGAAGCTAAACAGAATCATGCTTGATTTGTACTTGGATGGAAGATGATCAGGAATGCTGGATTTGTAAGCTAGTCTGGGAAAGAGAATGAATATCCTGGAAGAAGGCAATAGGGAATTGCTTTTGTATTGTTGCAAAGAAGATTACACTATCCATGAAGTTACCAGGAACCCAACTTAACTCAAAAGAATTTCTTTTTGTGCGAGAAGTTTAAACAAGAGGGAAAACTGTTTTGATGAACAATACTAGCTTAACCCAAAATTTTATATATATCCTACAATGCTCCCTACTCATCCAGCCACTATTTTAACTTTTATTGCCCAATAATGATAAGATAGGCAGGGGAGTGTGTATATGTATGTGTGGGGAGGGGAGAGAGAAAGATTGTTCTACGATTATCCAAGGAGCTTTGTGAGAGTTGAAAGAGTGATACCTATGTGTCTGCTGGTCAGAGCTATTCTAGTATCTGGAGGTTCTTGCCTCCCCCTCTGTGACTGAGAATTGTTCTGGTAGCAACAGTGATGACTATATTGTTGGTCACTATTCTTCTTGTAATGCTTATCTTAAAAGAAGGGTAAACTGGACTGTTTTTAAATTTCTGTCAATCTAAGCTGCTACTCTTTGGAGAAGTTCTTGAGATGCTTATGTATGTAGCTCTTTTCCTGGCTATTTGTTCAACTGAGAGACATCCTTACTTTCTTTTTTGGTTATAGAAATTGTGGATCAACCAGGCCTGGATATTTTTGGCCAGGTCTATAACCAGTGGAAGACTAAGGAATGTGTGTGCCCAAACTGTAGCCGAAGCATTGCTGCCTCCCGCTTTGCCCCACATTTGGAGAAGTGCCTTGGTATGGGTCGGAATAGCAGCCGTATTGCCAATAGGAGGTGAGGACATGAGAATGCTCTGAATGTTATATGTCTATCAGGAAAAGAGCTGAGACCAAGGATGATATGCTTGAAAATCAGAAGTATCAGAAGGAAAAAAGAAAATCCAACTTTGAGATTCCTATGATTGTATTGTTTTATGTTTATTCTATATGCTTAAAGTAATGCATTTTTCATTGTCATGCTAGCCTAAATTATGCATGAACTGATGCATTTTTGCATCATTATTTTACTTTTGTTTGCCATGGTGAAGAATGTGGAGATATCAAAGGCTGTAGAGGCAATTATTCAATGGATTATGGAGAAAGCAAGGAAGCTCCATAAAAACATTTACTTCTGCTTCATTGATTACTCTAAAGGTTTGGATTCTGTGGATCACAACAAACTGTGGCAAGTTCTTAAAGAGAGTGGAGAACCAGACCATCTTACCTGTGTAAAAATCCTGTCAAGAAGTAATGTTAGTATTGGACATGGATCAATTGATTGTTCAAAATAGGGAAAGTATCATAAAGTTGTATATTGTCATCTTGCTTATTTAACTTAAATGTAGAATACATCATGCAAAATGCCAAGCTCAATGAATCACAAGCTGGAATTAAGTTTACTGTGAGAAATATCAATAGCAGTGGTTCTCAACCTGTGGGTCGGGACCCCATTTGGGGTCGAACGAACATTTCACAGGGGTCACCAAACAACACAGTCCGCCATTTTTTCCCCCTTTTCCTTAGCTGTGCTACTCCCTTTTATTCTATTGGCTTTTGAAAGCCAATAGAATAGACTCTCTTGAAAAAGAAAGTCCAACTTTGAGATTCCTATATGATTGTAGAGTCTAATTCTATTGCCTTTCAAAAGCCAATAGGAATTGTCCAGGCTGTCTCTGCCCTGCTGAGCCCGCCAAAAGTCTCATTCTGCAAACGGTGCTGCACCAGTTGAGTAGTCCTCGACTTACGACCGGTTCAGTAGTCCTCGACTTACACCGGTTGGGGGGTCGCGGCATTAAAAAGGTTGAGAACCACTGATCAATAGCCTCAGATATACAAACCATACCACTCTAATGGCAGAAAGTGAAGAGCCTCTAAAGATCCTTTTGGTACGGATGAAAGAGGAGATTACAAAAGTTGGTTTGAAAATCAGCATTAAAAAAAAAAAAGACCATGGCATCTGGTCCCATCATATCCTGGCAAACAGAACTGGAAGAAATGAAAGCAGTGATAGATTTTGTTTTGGGCTTCAAGATCACTGCAGATGGTGACTGCAGTCATGAAATTAAAAGACTGTGCTCTTTAGGAGGAAAGCTATGGCAAACCTAGACAGCCCAGTGAAAAGCAGAGACATCACTTTGCTGACAAAGGTTTGTATAGTTAAAGTTATGATTTTCCCAATAGTAATGTATTACTTTGAAATTTGGACCATAAGGAACGCTGAGCACCAAAGAACTGATGCCTTTGAATTGTCGTTTCAGAGAAGACTCTTGAGAGTCCCTTGGACTTCAAGGAGATCAAATCAGTCAATCCCAAAGGAATCAACCCTGACTGTCCTTTGGAAGGACAGATACTGAAACTGAAGCTCAAATATTTTGGCCACCAAAGGAGAAGAAAAGACTAATTGGAGAAGATTCTGATGTTGGGAAAGATTGAAGGCAAAAGGAGAAAGAGATGGCAGAGGATGAGATGGTTAGATAGAGTAATTAATGCAATGAACATGAATACAGGAGACAGTAAAAGATAGTGGAGTTTGGTGTGTGCTAAGTGGAGTTTGGTGTGTGCTAAGTCATGTCCAACTCTTTGTGGGGTCACAAAGAGTTGGACATGACTTAGCAACTAAACAACAAAATAGGCAATCAAATCCATATTTCTATATGATACCTCTGCGCCCACAGCTGCTAAAATATGGCAAGGGATAGCCTGTAATTGTAAAATATTGATCCTTAAAGCAAATTCTCTGCTTGTACATCATGATGGAGGAATGCACTCAGCATAATGTGAGAGTTTGACTTCCTGTGGCGTTCCAGTTAAGGGACTGAGCTGCAAGTCAAAAAGCACCTGGTACAAGTTTTACTTTTGCATCAAATTGTCAATTCTAAGAACAAAAAAACTCTTGAGTGTCTTAGCTTCTTGTTTCCACTGAAGTTTGAATCTATACTGACTTGCCTCGCTGGCTTGCTGACAAGTTTCATCAGAAATGCTATCCAGTCTGTAAACCAGCTTTCCCCAATATTAGTATCATAGCAGCCGCTGAATTCTGGAAATTAGAATCCATACATAGATAACATCCAGGTTGAGGAAGCATGCTGTACATGCTAACAAAATATAGTAACTTCAGTTGATAATTAAGACGTTTGCTTGTTTGGGATGGACTTTGTCTTTTAATATATTTAATCCTAAGAGAGTTTCCAACTTTCTACCTACTCCCTATTATACTACTGCAATTAATGCAATTTGGAATTATTGTAAGGAAGGACAGCGAGCTCCATTCAGTAGTATTACTCGAGACCAATTTCTCAGTTGTGAATATTGTGTTGGTGGGTCTGATTTTCTAGGTTTCAAAAAGACAGAAACATCAATCTTGGAAGCCTGAACTCTGCTCATCCTTTTCCTAGGATTTATATTCATTTCAAATAACACACTTGCCAATCTTCTTTGGGCTTCCTCATTGCCTGGCAATGCCATGGAGCAGTGTTACACTTCCTGGCATGAGTTAATGGCTTGGAGGACAGAAAGTGGCAATTCTAATTGCAGTCTTTCATCCCAAAATAAAAAGAAAAGCACCCTTTTTCTTCTTGTTCACCGTGCTGCAGGATAGCAAGTAGTAATAACATGAACAAATCTGAGAGTGATCAAGAGGACAATGATGACATAAATGATAATGACTGGTCATATGGATCTGAAAAGAAAGGTAAGCTGAAGCAAAGATGTGTTTGTGTGCATGCTCTTTTGTAAAGATAGAAGTCTCTTTCTAGAATGAGGAATAGATGTTGAATTTGGCTGCTACTTCAATCAGAAATTCTGATGAGAGATCTTTTAGAAGGCTGTTTTGGTGGAATTTGGTGGGTTCAAAGGGACAATCTTGCACCTTGAGCACTTTTGAGATATGGAGTCTAATGCAAAAGATTTGGATTCAAATAAGGTACCCAACTTTGGGGGCAGGGGAGAGAGAGGCTGCCAATGCTACACTGAGTTGTTATTGGCCAATTTTATACTACTGTGGGTCTAAAGACATAGTTTTCAGAGATGACCTTAAGAGAATGAAAAGACTGACTTGCTCTGTTGGATATATGTTGCAAAGGAACAGATTAATTATTAATTAATTATGGTAATTTTCAACCTAAACCATAATGGGTACTATCTATTACAGTCATAGGTAGTGACGACTGTTATGTGAGACAGACTTACTTAATGACCCTCACCCCTGCTCTCCTTAATGCCACTGTTAGGTAAATGCGCAGGTCGTTAAGCATGCATGGGTACCTCATGGGTGGAGGAGGCACTGGGAAACCTGCCACCTAGCTGAGTCCATAAAGAAGGCAGACAAGCAGTAAAAATCTTTGCAAAGCCAAAATCAGCGTAGAAGGGGGAACAGCGTAACTAGATTAAAGTCTAGCATTGTGTTCCAATGCCAGAGAGGCTCCCAAACAAGCCTCCATGCTTGGCCAGTGAAACCACACCTGAGGTAGTAGGCTTTGGGCCTACTTCTACCTGGAACTCAATATCATTTAATCTTTGCAGGAGTGTATGCTTGGTATTGTTATACCACATAAATCACATGTATTTTGTTGATAACCATATGTCACTACTTTGATGAAAAATTATCAGTCTTTATTAGTTGAAATAAACTTGAGGGGGATAACTTAATAAACTAATCAAAGTTTAATATCAGCCTTCATGCCCTAATTTCAATTTTACATTGTTTCTAATTTGAGACAAGAATGAGCTTTCTGGCTACAAGTATAGACTCAGGACTTTGGTTTATACTATTTCAAATGCATTATTTCTGACATACAGATCCACATAGGCCCATATAATTCTTGGACCAAAATCTAAGCTTGGAAATGTTTTAAGGGATGGTATAATAAAATATCTCCTTTTTAATTTAATTAGCAAAGAAGAGGAAATCAGATAAGGTAAGTGCATGCTTACCTTTAATATTGATTTAATTATTAAAGTGAGCATTTTTAAATCTTTAAAACTGATTACTCTCAGTTTTCATGATCTTATACTATTTGTGAAACCTGGGTTTCGAAATCTGTTGTGCATTGGATTGAGAACTAAGAAATTGTGCTATTGAGAAGCAAGATTATGCTTCAGTTTGGATCCTTTAGGAAGGTTTTTCTCAGTTTATTCTGTGAGTTTACATCTTTATCTTTTTACTTTGAGTTACATGGCTCCTTTGAATTGTAGGAGATTATATACTCCTCAGATAGTGCTACACAAAGAGGAAGAAAAAGGGAAGGCTGTAATCCCTTAACTCAAGGTGAAACTCAACATATATTGGGAATGTGAGTTTTCCTTCCTAGACACTATAGTAATGAATGTTTTGTATCTGTACATCAACAACATTCTTTAAAACTATTGATTTCACAATAATTTCTGTGCTTTCACTGTTTCAAATATTATTTAGGGACCAGGTAACCAAAACATTTTTTAAAAGTTAACCATCTACATTGCTGTTACTGTTGTTCAAAATCTTGAGTGAGTAGCCTGATCTTTGTCACTGAAATGAAACAATGTTGAAATGGTCTTCAAGTTGGGGAAGGGATTTAGTTGCAGGATCTATTAAATTCAGAGTTTCCCCACACCCCCATAACAAACTAGACCTTTTATTTTTCCTGACTTCTTTCAGAATCCCAATTCTCCCCGAAGATCCAAATCCCTGAAACATAAAAATGGTGAGTGTGTTGTAGAAAGCCATCTTCTATTGTTCTTATATCTAATCTCCATATGACATAGTATAATGCATAGGCAAAAATTTTCCCAATTCTCCTGTACAGCTTTTGTGTATCTCAGTTAAAATTAATTAACTGGAGAGGGTACATACTTTTTGCTTTGTAACTGCAAGCAGTGCCTGCCTTTGGAAAGCCCTGTTTTCTTGTGTTTCTGCATGCATGGTGAATATGGACGTGGCCAGAATAATTGGAGGGAATACTACTAAAGCAGATGTTAAATAGCAGGGGTTCTCCATAGATAGATTTGCTGGTAGAGATCCATCACAGCACCTTTTAGGTAGCTAAACTTTTAAATGCTTTTATACCATTTAATGAAGTAGCAGGTTGCTCATTGTCAGCGTTGTTTGTCAATTACTGCTGTAAACATGCTGTGGGAAAATGTAAAAAGAGAAAAGGTGAACTGATGTGTTGTACAATCAGAATGTTTTTAGTCAATCTGTTGAATATCTTAGTAGTTCTTAAGTAGGCCAACGCGTGGTTGATTTAAAGTTTTTAGTGGAAAAGCATGGGTAGTATGCACTATCATCAGAAAACAAAGGTTGTCATGGCTTTCAATTGGATTGGACATTTGGAGAGTATGCATAAAATGAATTAGAGTTACCCTACTTGGGCTGCCAAAATGCAGATTAGATGTGGTAGCCCTAAGGAGAGGAAATATTGAGCATTTGGAGGAACCTACTTGAAGGCTTGATGGACTGTAGATGGGCAGGTAGTAATGGCAGTTAGGTGACCTGGAGTAGATGGGTTTGCTTAAAAGAGCCTTTCATGAATGGCAACAAGGAATTACCAAAGGAAAATAAACCCCCTCCAGAATCACAGGTGTCCTAGATCACCATGAAAATGACTGGAAGGAATAGGAGTCAGCCTGTATCTTGCTTCACTGTTTGGGCTTGCTTTCTCTACTATTTAACTCTCCTTACTGTATTATGAGTTAAGCGTGCTTTAGAATGCTTAGAATATTTCAGAATGCTAGTACGTTTTCCTATGCCAAATTGTGTTTCCTAGGCCATAATTTGGAGATGGTTTCATTTGCAACTTGATATGCAAATGGCCATATGGAATCTATGAATTAGCCTTTAAAAACAAATGCTACCCTAGTTTTCTGGCATGTGCATTGATAAGCATCATAGTAGAGTGAGACCACATGTATTGCTACTTATGTTTATTCTTTTTTTCTCTTCCAATAGGGGAGCTCAGTGGAAACCCAGACCCATTTAAGGTAAGTTTAGTTCAATACAGCAGTGCTGTGTCCTATCATACTGTGTTGCTCCTCAGGATTTTAAAAAATACTGGATCTACAAAACCTCTGTTTAGAGGTTCTATTGAGCCCGAGTCAGCTTGTCTAAATATAGCAGTGGCTCTGGAGCCCACTCCCACCATATGCCTGGATTTGATAACATAAATGCCTACATTTAAGAAAGGAATGCAAGAGAATTTTAATGTCAGCTTCAAAGCCTTATCACAGTTTTTAACAAAAAGCAGTGAATCCACCCTAGAAGTATTTCATTGCTACATGACAAAGCCCTATCTATTCTGCACCATTGCCATATCTCTTGTGGCTGTCAACTTTTCTTAAAGTTAAAAGGGCTCTTAATGTTAATGACTTCAGAGTAGAATAGGATTACAGAGGGGCATGTATTACATTTCTATTTGCTATTTTATCTTTGTTATGCTAGTATTTTATCTCATTCATTCATTCATTCATTCATTTATCTGTATGCCACCTTTATTACTTTTACAAATAACTCAAGGTGGCGAACACATCCTCCACACCTTCCTCCTCCTGTTTTCCTCACTAGAACAACCGCTGTGAGATGGCTGAGTGAGTGACTTCTCCAAAGTCATCCAGATGGCTTTTGTGGCTAAAGTGGGACTTGAACTCACATTCACTTGCTTTCTACACTGGTGCTTTAACCCTTAGAACAAACTGACTCTCACTCAAACTATTTTACTTTTGTGTTGCATAATTTCATTTTCATACCATTTCATGGTGAAAATGTGAAGGAAAGGATTGCCATGACTTATGTAACACTTAAAATATTTGGGTATGGTGTATTCTCCTCCTTAGTATAACAATTCTGCTGGAATCAACTATGAAACTCTGGGTCCTGAGGAGCTCCGTAGTTTGCTAACTACAGTAAGTATCTAGCTATGTTGCCTTCTGTCTAGTGATTCTGTATGCCGTTGCTTATTTTCAGTTAACAGAAAGAAACTGATGCTTATTTATTTGAAGGTAAATGCTTGCCCTGAAGGGTCTGCATAACTGATCATTGGAACCTATACAATACTTAAAATTTTATTTGGAAGGGACATTGCAAAACAAAGATAAATCCCCTATGGCCCTTTGAAGTGATTTGAGGACTCTTCAATCCCCTGAGGCTAGATAATATTTAAAGCTGATAGGTATGGTTTATTATGGGTTTGATATTCATTTAACTACAGCAATGTTCAGTTGCTGCCCTATTGAATATGAAAAAGTAAAGGAACCCAAGCATGATTTTGTTGAAATGAAGGTCAAATGACACTAAAACGGAGGCAGGTAGTATGAGGATTAGTGTACCTAATCAGGAATAAGACAGAAATAAAGGGTTGTGAATACTGATGTCTGTTATTGTGGAGATATGATCTACTGGCCTAATTAAAGTACCATAAATTCTGGCGTATAAGACGACTTTCTAAACACTTAAAATCTTCGCAAAAGTGGGGGGTCGTCTTATACGCCGGAAAAATATTTCTCAGCAAGTTTTCTCTCCCCCCCCCCCTCTCTCTCACTCAAAAAGAGTCCTAGGGTTATTATTAAAACCAGTCGATCAACTAAAGATATCTCTGAGAGTACGATAGGCATTATCTGGCTGTTGTGACGGTAAGATTTCCTGGAGGTTTAATCCCCATTCTATAATACTACATTGCAAACCGTCTCCTCTCTTCTTCCCTCCCTTTTGCATCCCAATTCCTTGCCCACCCCTCCAGAACTGCGGATTGGTAGTGGCCATCCCCTGATTAATTCATTCAAAGGAAGTAGAAAGGGATGGCCCATGTAATGGGGAAGGGGGGAAAAGAATTGTAGGGTGGTTTTTTTTATATAATGAAAACAAACCTAAGCATCTGCGTCCATTCGAGGCACTTCTCAGTGCTTCTTCATGCAAGCTTTTCAGCGTTTACCTCTCACTGCCGGTGAGAGTAGCTTGGGGGAGGCGGAGCTTATGGGTCTGGAAGGGGAGGGGTGTCAGCTAAATTCCTCTTGGAGTTAAGAAGCAGGAATGGAGTGGGGACAGAAAACAGCTACACAATCCTTTTGCCTGAGCTTATGCAAGCAGTTTCTCCCCCCCCCCCCCGCCGCCTAAATAAACTTGCATGGTGCATTTGTGGTGTTATTTATGACAGATCCTGGCTGGTCAATCTGGCTCCCATCTATAAGTACTGTAGTGCACTGAGTTTCAATAACAATTTATTGAAACAATTTACTGAAACAATTTACTCCCCCCCCCATTACCTGAAAAGGGGGCAACTTATCACATTTATGGAAATGCAAGTTTTCGAAGGGCGAATGCCTTTCTTACTTAGTTTATTAACTGCTTCCTTTCCTTCTTCCCTAAACATTCTGGCTGTCTCCAATTTCATTCTTGGTAGTGTTGCTTTAAAAAACTGCTGAGAAGTCCTTTTGCAGGCAGGGCAATTTTCATCAAGGTGTGTGTGCGATTGACAAGGCAGAGCCTTTGACAAACAGGCAGGCTTTCTGCTCACTCAGCTTGGAGAGGCTGTGGAGGATTCGCAGGGTGGAAGACTGAGAGGAGGAGATCCCTGTGTGCAGCCTGCTTGCTCCAAGCCAAAGCTTGCTACTGGGGGGAGGGCAATGGAAGGGACCCAGGGAGTCACACGCATGCCTACATGTGCACGCACACACCCTGAGCTACTCATTTGGACTTACAGGTGGCCAATGAGAACTCAGAAACTGTGCTCCCTTTCCCCCTCCCTCATGGAATTAGCTTGTCCATTTTTTCCCTAGGGCCTATACAGGAGTAGGCAACCTTGGCTCTTTTATGACTCATGGACTTCAACTCCCAGAATTCCTGAGCCAGCATAGCTGGCTCAGGAATTCTGGAAGTTGAAGTCCATGAGTCATAAAAGAGCCAAGGTTGCCTACCCCTGGCCTATAAGATGACAGGAAGGGTTGGGCAGGCAGGGAGAGCTGACCCACCCAATCCAAGCAGGCTTTGTATACAACAACCAGCCAAGGTTCATCGCTTGCCGTGATTGGCTGGTTGTTGTATACTGGGTACATACAGTACAGCACCAGTATCTGTACCAGTTCATACAGTACAGCACCAATACATACAGTACAGTATACAAATGTCCAATAGTCAAGACCCCATCATGGCTCCACCAGCAAGAAGAAAGAAATATGAAGCCAGTTTCAAACTTAAAGTTGTAAACTTTGCCATGGAACATAATAACTGCGCTGCTGCAAGACAATATGGAGTAACAGAAAAGATGGTTCGGGACTGGAAAGCAAATGAAAAAGCATTAAAGAGTATGCCAAGGGGTAAGTGTGCATTAAGAAGAGGCACCCCACATTGGCCAGAACTTGAAAAACATGTAGCAGACATGGTGAATGAGCATCGCCAAAACGGTTATGTAGTGACACGAAATAAAATACGTTTGTTTGCACTTCAGTGGGCCAAATCTAACCCAGATCACAGCAACAGATTTAAGGCCACTGCATCCTGGTGTACTAGATTCTTGGAAAGGCATAATATGGTACTGAGGCAAAAGACGAAAATTGCACAAAAATTACCTGCAGATCTTGATAGCAAAGTAATTAGTTTCCATCAATACATAATACAACAGCGCATTAAACATGGCTATGCATTAAGTAGTATTGGAAATATGGATGAAACTCCAATGAATTTTGATATGGTTGGAAATAAAACTGTCCATCAAAAAGGTGAAAAAACAATTTTAATTAAAACAACAGGACATGAGAAGTCCAGTTTTACAGTGGTACTAGCATGCACAGCTGATGGTGCCAAACTGAGACCAATGATTATTTTTAAAAGAAAAACAATGCCAAAACTCAAGTTCCCTGTTGGTTGTTTTGTACATGTGAATGAAAAAGGCTGGATGGATGAAGAAGGGGTAAAGCTATGGCTTGATAATGTATGGAGCAGGCGACCAGGTGGACTTATTCAAAAACGTAGTCTACTGGTGTGGGATATGTTCAGGGCTCATTTAACTCCCAGCACCAAGCAAAAGCTTGCAAGACTAAACACAGATGCGGCAGTTATTCCTGCAGGATTAACATCGTTAGTAGCCACTGGATATATGCCTAAACAAGCCATTTAAAGATTGCATTCGAGAACAGTGGAATGAATGGATGGTTAGTGGCGAAAAGTCATTCACAAAAGGAGGAAACATGCGTGCTCCACAATTGGATGTTTTGTGCAAGTTTGTCATAAAAGCCTGGAATGATATTGATGCAGAAACAATAATCAAGTCTTTCAAGAAGTGTGGCATATCAAATTCATTAGATGGTATGGAGAACGACTACTTGTGGCAAGATGAAGAGGAAGCCGAAGCTGAGACCACACCATCTGATACGGAATTCGATCCATACGATGACTGCCTTGCAAATGTATCACAAGATGTCATTGATATTTTTATGATATTAGATGATGAACAGGATGATTTTAAAGGCTTTTAAAGGGAAAGTATCATGCCAGCAAAACCTATAAAAATAGCTTGCAGTTATGATGGGCGTTGCTGACTCGCCAGGGACTTGCCCGGCACTTGCTCTCTCTATTGTTTGTTATCTTCCTCCTATCATCATCAGTTCCAGTTGGGTTGACAGCTTAGAAAACAAATAGCATGGCAGCTCCCATGGGTTTATTGTCTTATCCTTCCTTTCAGCTTTAGAGTGAATTAGGAAAAGTTTAATCACTTGCACTGTTTTATGTTTACATGTTTGATGACAAACAGCCTTATGTTTATAAGTGACAGTTTTCCTGCTAAGTACCTTTATGCCATAAGCATTTGAATTAAAATTACCATATTGAAATCAAATCTGATGTTTTTTAATTTTTATTTGGTGTGCGTTGAAAGAGGGGTAGTCTTATACGGCGAGTATAGCCCAAACTCTATATTTTAACTGGAAAAGTTGGGGGTCGTCTTATACGCCCAGTCGTCTTATACGCCGGAATATACGGTAGCTACTTAGGCTGGTTTTTATTATACTTTATCATGGAAAAGCAACAAACATGCAAAAGACTGTTGCTCTGCCCCAGGCTTCCCCAACAGGAATATGCTCCTTGTCTGTGGAATCTGGGGTTTGGAGTCCCAATAAATCTGGAAGAAGACAACCAGTATAGTTCTTTTTTAATTCCCATCTCAGTTGAGTTGCTTTAAAAGGGGATTTTCCTCTGCATTGCATCTTTGCCCTTCCCAAGCAGAGTCCTATACAATTTTTTGAGACTAGGCATTGCTCCTTTTAGATCTTCCAAGATGACCCTGTGAGGCTTACAGTAAGTTCTGCCTCACTTTCCTCCCTTGCTTTTCTTTCATTTACTTTCCATTGTCCATGTTTTTACCTGGCTGTGTTTATTATTACTTAAAGATTGTTTCTCTTCTTAGTCAGCCTGTGCTGAAAAGTCATGGCTGCATTTACAGCCCTCTGTGAGGGTTAAAATATTTATATTCTGAAAATATTTATATTTTGAATGTTTAAGAATGAGAACTACCCATCATCTGATGTACTAACCAACCTACCAACCAACCTGATTTATGATCCTTTTTCTCTAGCAATGTGGGGTGATCTCTGAACATACCAAGAAGATGTGTACACGGTGAGAACTACCTTTTAATTTTTGGATGCCCTTTTGAGTTGCTTTGTTTGCTAGTGCAAAAGTCTCTAGGTCACAAATTTGCCCCATTTGCAGTGGCTAGTTTGGAATCTACTTGCTTGTGATTACAGGAATTGATCTTTTCACTAGTGTTCAGTCAAAACAGAATTCACACTTGGGGAGAAAATATGCATTGAAAATCGAGGAGAAGAAAAATATTTTTTCTTTGGCAGAACTTGCAAGACACTTGCTACCTGAGTGAAGCCCCATTATTGGAAGTGATATTGCAGAAAAATGTTGGAGAGAAAGGTGGGAAGGGAATTCTTTTGATTTTAATTTAACCTTGCAACTTGGTGAGGGGTAGTTTGCCTACAATAAAATATCTCTTGCTAATCCTGAAATTGGCTTTAACTAGCTTCTTACGAGAAATTCAAAAACTTGGAAGCTACACAACGGCTATATAAAAGCTTTCCATACAATTTTTTAACAATGAATTGGGCTTCCAAGCCTGTTCAAAAGGTAAGGTATTTTATTTATTAGGAAAGTTTGGAACTATTTTTTCAGACTAATACATTTTATTATAAAGCACCAGCTTTCATGAGCTTCAACGTGCTTTATCAGATGCAGGGAATGGCTTAATATAGGATTTAAAAACATAGGTATGAAATGGGTAAAGGTAGTGGAAAACAAAATGATTATACAGATCAAGGTTTCATGGGGTACAAATTATAAGTTCCTATCAAGTAACCATTGTATTGTGTTAAAACTTATTGAAACTTTCTGAGATAAGCTGCAAATAACTGATGTATATAAGTACAGTTGTCTTCCACTCAAAGTTACTCTGGAAAAGTCTTTTTTTCTTCCAAAACAACTACGTTAAGATCTATAATGAGAGATCAAAATGCATCAATGCTTTGTCCTTGATTCAAGTCAGACTTGGCTCAGTTAGTACAGTACAAAATTGTCTGTTAGTCCTTTCTAAAAGTTAACAGGGGACTGCTGGCAATTGATAGCATACATGGCATTAGAGGAACAGCATATGAAAATGCCTATAAAATTGGCCTTTTGCACCATCTGATTCCCATGTTAACTTCTGTTTCTTTGGGAGAATTTCTTCAGATGCAAGTAAAGTTGCATGTTGGCTGGAGAATTCTGGGAATTAAAATCCACACATCTTAAAGTTGCTAAGTTTGAAAATCACTCATCTATGTGAATATGCTGGATGAGGTCATATGATGGCACAGAGTGCTGATGATACCTAGTTACACACCTCCATCCCTGGCTGAGCAGATGATGCCATTTTAGTGCTGATCCAATATCTGGAGATTATGAGGGTCTGGAAGGGGAGGAAGCAGCTTCAACTCATACCTGCAAGACAGAGTGGTTGTGGGCTTTAATGTTCCCTGTATTCCAGTCCAAAAAAGATTAGCCACGTGCTGCCACCTACTGAGGTACTGTAATTTGAAAAACAAATTCAAATTCTGCTTCCAGAAAAAAAACTTTTTTAAAAATAGATTGCTTACATTATATAACTGAAGTTTGGCAATTTGTATTTCATATAACTAAGTATATTTAAATTTCTCACAAGATGTTGCTGAGACTCTGCCCTGGGAAATAAAAACTGCTCAGCAGCCAGTTGTCTAAAAGTTGGCTTGGATTTGCTTCTTGGTCTTAAAGTCTTCAAATTCCACTTACAAAAGAGAATGACTTGCTTTCAAAGAAAGAATAAAAAATTGCTACAATGTTTTTGCCCTGCTAGTAAATAGGTGTATGCAAGCAATAAATTACTGTTTCAAAGACAGATTGGGATGCTCACAATATATTTTTCAGCTCTGAGCATTTGATTGTTCTCTTAGATTTTCTGACAGTGTTGACCCCCTACTTCTAGAATATTGATGGGTTAGCATTATGGATGGTGAAAGAGCAGGAAACATGTATTTCACAACCTGGGATTGTTCTCTAATCTCGTCCTTTGCCTGAAGGTCTCTTCGCTGCCCCCAGCACACTGATGAACAGCGGAGGTCAGTCAGGATCTACCTCCTAGGATCCTCTGTGTAAGTGTAATTAGGATGGAAGAAATGCGGAAGAGAAACTCTTTTGCTCCAAAATATATTTCATACTGTTTAACTGCATGAATGTTGCTGAATTTTGCTAATTGCATAAATGAAGCTGAATAACTTTCAGAAAACCTTACATTGATAATCTTTTGGCTTTTCAGAATTAGGCATATCTCATCCAGGGGTTTTCAAGCATATCTTTCTGGGTTAGAAATCTACTCTAAAAGAAATAAAGAATATAAAAGTAGTGGAAAATGGGGGTAGGGGGGAAATAGCACATCCTCTTGGAACTTCAAGAATGCCTGGTTGTTGTTTTAAAAAGAGACTTCTCTGATCTAATAGCACATCTCAAAACATTTTGTTTCCTTGTTCATTGCCTTAACACAAACTCTGCATTGATAGAATCTATCTTTGTAGGATTTTACTTCTTTAGATTGTAAGTTAACACTCAAGGAATTGCAGACCTGGGGTTGCAGTATATACTCCAAGATAACATGGTGAAGCTATGTATGTATTTGCGCATAGTTAAATGTGTCAAAATCTTGCAAGATCAGCCATTTTTTATGTCAGTTTGGAGATTGTTGAAATCCCATGTGACTCGAGCCATTTAAAAACTATTTTTTTAGAGTATCCAGAACATCACATGAGATAATATCAGGCCTTAGAATAAACAATTGAAGTAAATTACCAGAGGAGGAAAATCTGAGCTGAAAAATGATCTTAAGAGTATGGGTTGAAATGCTGAGCATTTGCTAAAGTATAACTAAGGGCTTTCTTTGAGAGACAACAGCATTGAATATGGATGGATAGTTAAAAGCAGCGTCTTTTCTGCTTTTTCTTTCTGACAATATATGACAGGCGAGCAACAACCTCTTTCTGTCCAAGAAATGCATGTTGCCTTTGTAATTATAATACTGGGATTGCCAGAAAATGCAGGTGGGGCTAGGGCAAAATAATGAAATTTAAGTGTAAATAAAATTAGAATATTAACATAGTTGATAACTCCTTATGTATTAATCATTGTCTTCTATTTTTCACATAACAATGACAGTGGTAGCATTTGGGGGTGCTGTAAAGCCTGCTTCCAAAGCTGTGTTGAGACTGCCTGTAGCTCTACCAATACAGATTGGGTTTCTCTGTTAGCTGTTGCTACAGTTAAGATAATTGACCTTGATCTTTTTCCTCTTTTCATATATTTTCCCTTTACTTAGCTCACTTCCTGAAACAGAAAGCAGTGTGGAAAATGATAGCTTTGATGTGGCAGAAAGTCAAGCCCTCATGAGCCGGCTTCAATGGGATGGTTCTTCAGATATCTCTCCCTCTGATTCAGCTTCATCAAAAGCAAGTAAGAATGTGTATGGTTACTTGATGAGAGAGCAGGCTGAAGTGATAATGGCTTGCATCTTAAATACTGGAACTCAAGATAACTTCTAATTGTGAGGTTGTAGGAGTATTTGCTTGTTTGTCTTGTTTTTTCCTAGCACATTCTACTGATGAACACAGAAGGAGCAAAGACATCAAAACATTATCACTTAGGATATCTGGTTTATCTTGTTCATACTTATGCACATAGGATGCTAACCATTGTCAGCACTAGATGCTTTTCAACCTTTCCTCTAATTCTTAACATCAAATTTGTTGCAGTAGCTCATTTTGTATGGTTTGAGTTGTAGGATTCTACTGAGCTATTTGCTGTCATAACATGATTGTTGAATACAGACAACTCCAACCTTTAGGAATATGATTTAGAGGTTTCCACAGGTTGCCAAATAATATAATGGTTCTTTCCAGAAAGGTCTAAAAATTAATGGGCAGATTACTTGAAAAAAGATTATTCTTGACTTCTTTTCAGCTATGATCAGCTAATTCATTGGCAATTATTTGTATAGAAGATTCTGCCCATAATCTCTACCAAAACATTGATTGCTGATTACCTTAGTGAAACCAACTTCCCTGTTCTTTCAGACTACATTATCTGCATAGCAGACTACATAGAGGCACAATAAGAAAGGAAAATCCCAAAAGAACTAATAGTCCCCTAAATAAGAGAGAGAGCCAATGGCCATTAAAGATTTTATTAAAATGCTAATCTTTCATCTTCTGTCAGTTGCTGTGCTGTCTGAATCCTGTGAGCATTCTTGGTCTACAACATCTAGAAGCCACACATTTTTGATCACTGCTCCATTTGTTGAGAAATTGACAGAAGCCTAGTAGGCAAATGCTTCAAAATAATAAACTGAAGTTGATGTAAAAGTGTGTGCAACTTACTCTTACTCACAGTTACAGCAAGTGCAAGTGTGGCAAATCAAATTGGCAAAAGGAACTAAAAAAGAGTGTTCATTTTATCACTGTAGTTGCCACTAAATCTTTTTATTTGATAAAAGTATTTGTAAATACTGACTCATGGTATTGTGTGTTCTCTGGCTGTGCTCAGCTGTAAAATTTATGCTGTATTGTGATTGTATTGATAATTATTTGTAATTATAATATTATGATGATTCTCCTGGGAATGCTCTTTACTTGATGACTCGTGTGTGCAAATGGGCCACACAGATTTGACAGCAGAATTTATCCTTTCGTGGCAGTGCTTTTCAGTGGAAGTGATTTATCCTTTCAGCTTGGGAATGGGCACTGAGAAGTTTTTCAAAGCATTACAAATTGCTGCCCATGCAAAATTGGCATATACTCATTGAAGAACAAGGAAGTTATTTGAAAAGCAGGACTGAAAACAGGCAGGCATAATACTTCAACATGCATTTTTTTTCTCCCCACAACAGGTACAAACAACTCTGAATCCCGAAAAACCAAAAAGAAGAAACCACACATGAGCCTGGTAGGAGGTGCTCCAGGAATGAGCTCCAGTAAAAAGAAACTGAAGCCTAAACCACTTGCCCCTCCTACTCCCAGCCTCTATGATGACATAAATTGAATAATACTAGGATGAGAAAAACAGGGAAGGGGCCCGGAATCTGTTCTGGTTTCTTTCTAACCCAGATTAGGGGGCAGATCTGGCTGATATCCTCTCAAGTGGTCCCTTGCGGACACCCTTTACAAGAATGTGGAGAGAGATGGCTGCATGTGTCCACTGCCCTTCTCTCAAGCCTCCTACACAGATAGCATAGCCCTGTGCCCACTAGATATATAAAAAAAGACTAGGATTGCTTTTGAAAGAGTGGGCTCCCACCACTTCTGGGGAAAAGGGATGGTGGTGGTTTGAGGCGGGCCTTAAAGATGGATAGCACCTCCATCAATCAGGAAGGAATTGATCTCTCTCCTTCCCGTTTCAATTTGTCTATTTATTGTGATGTTAGTGATTGTTCAATCATGACTATATATATGATGACATCATATTTGCTTAGCAATGCTAAAGACTGAATTGGCAGGGCTGGGAAGCATCTATGCATATAAATCTGCCTGTGCTCTTTTGTTGATTTTAAAGGGTATGGCAGAAAGGAGGGGAATCAGTGCTTACCTTTTTGTCTTTAGTGTCTACCCCAGTGGCCTCTTCACTGTCTCTGTTGAACAAGTGGCACAAGAATGTAGTTATCCTAACATGCTGAGATGGGTAGAGAGAGTGGAGCAGATGTTGCTGCTGTGGTCACTATTGTTTCCTTTCCTGACACTATCTGCCTCTTCACCAGTAGCATCCCTAAAATCTTATACAAAGCAGCATTAAGAATCTGGAGCTGCATTCTTCCTGATGTATGGATACCAGGAAACTGGTGAAACAGTTAACTTCCTTAATTGTGGTTGGATACTAATTTTGTCCAATCTTGATGAGCCAATACTCCAAGACATGCATTACTTTATACATGTAACTTAACACACATTTTAAAATATCCCTGACAACTGGCTATAAATCTGAGTTACTGAATTTTAAAACAGCTCTATTTAACATCTCATTGAATCCAGGTAGGGAGATTGTGCTCTGACCTGTTAGTTATCATTAATTTCTCTTTAACTTAGTTTAAATGACTTATTTGGATTTGAATGACTCAGTCAGTGAAAATAAACAGTTCTGGAGTATTAGGGGCAAAATCAAGAAAGTTAGGGATAATGGACTGGGAAAGAGAATATATGCTTCTTTTAGATTAATAATTTTACTGTTTTCTCCCCTTCAACCACTCCCACCCCCCGAAAGTATATTTTCCCTCCACTTCATTCCTGCTGTTTTGTTGTTTTTACAGACAGCTGCTGTTTTAAATCTAGTGCCATAAATCATGATGGTCTAAGGATTTTTGTAGATATATGCTAAAAATTGCAGTATTACTTCTAAGACAGAGGTCCCCAACCTTTTGGGCACCAGGGACCGGTTCCATGGAGAGAGGTTTTTCTCTGGACCAGAAGGGGCGTGCTTTTGTGTGCTGCCTGCATCCCGCAGATAGGGCTTTGCTTGTTTGTGCAAATCGGTTGCTGGCATGCCGTGGCCCAGTACTGGTCCATGGACCGGAGGTTGGGGGCCTCTGTTCTAGGGAATATTGCCTCTTTGCTTTTTTGTTGTACCCTTCCTGAATCTTTACAATGTGTAGAACTATACAGAAGCCATGTAACCACTTCAAAATGTGTGCCCTCTTTTATTGCAAAAGCGTGCACATGAAAAAAGGTCATTTGTTGTATCTACTCATAAGTCTAATTTACTGAAACTTAGCGGTTTCCTTCCTAATGTGAGAATGTTTGTAGCTAATTTCTATAGTAGCAGAGAATCCATATTGCTAATAACAACTGCTTGAGGCTGTTGCCTGGATTGAGATGGCTGACAACTTTTGCAATAGTACTTTTGCTTCTTTTGCTTTTCCCTCTCTTTGTTCCTAGCAACTAAAAAAAATCCTTGCTCAAAAGATGGAGGAGAGAAACTCCATGTTTTCCACTGTTAAAATTCATAGCTCAATTCCATCAGGGAAAGCTCTCTGAAAAATCCCCACTAACTGTCTTGAAGTGAAAAGCTTTCAGCACATGCACATTACAAGGAGAATCTCAAAAGGACCACCAAGTTCTTCCTTCCTCCCCAGAGTTCCACATGCTTTTCTGATGCTATTACATGCGGAGGCAAATTCTGCTTGTCATAGTGCTTATGTTAAGGCATAGATGCTAGATCTGTTGCAGCTTCTGTGCCGGATTGGAGGATATGTGAATGTCCCAAATTGTTTCAGGTGTGGAAATAGCAGACATAGGAAGTCAACATTACTGAGGTTGGTCTTTTCTCGCCATTATGTCCCTGGGCAAAAAGTATGTTGCATAGGGAGTATTCTGGGACCAAGACGGGCCTTCCTGAAAGATCTTGCTGGACATTGGTAGGAAACCTTGTTTTTAGGTATCCTCTGTTAAACAAGGAAAATCTGTTTGCAAAAATCTTGATTTTGTTCCTTTATCTGATCACAATCTACAAAACATTACTTCTGCATTGCCTAGACTTCATACTTAGCAAATGTTTTTAAATACGTAACTCAGTATTCTATGATAGCTATGTAAGTATGGAACAGACAATTGCCTAATATCTCCTTGGAATGTAGCTGAATTATTTGGTGTGAATTGAATCTTTCCAAGGGAAGTGGGAAAAGTGGAAAATCTGTTCCTGTTCACTGCCTGATAACAAGTAGCTACATACTTAAATTATGTATCATCAAAATGCTGGCTAACTTTTTACTATTGTAGCAATATAAAAATAGCCAGTGTGAAAGAAGAATAAGACTAGATCTTTGTTTGTTTCCCATGACTGCAACTCAAGCTTTTGGGATCATGTTTCAGGCAACATTGGAAGTGTAGACTCTGGGTACTTTGAATATTAATTTAGCAAAAAAGAACAGAGGTCATTTTATATATGGCTCTGCATCTGTACCTGCACCCGTTATTTTTTAAGGTAGGGCCTGTTTCACTTGAAGAAAAAAACTGTATCATGAATGGATTAAGAATTTTTTAATTTGTTGCTGTATAAACTGCACTTATATAATATTTCTGAACATGTGCAAAAATCATTGAAGAAAGTACTCTACTGTGGTCTCCAATTTTTTAAAAAATGTTTTTGTCTATATAATCTCAGCTTGTACAGGTAGCTAGATATTAAAAAAAACCTATCAAATCTGTATTTTCTTCTTCCCATTCATGGATTGTGAAATGCTTGTGTAAATAAACTGTAACTCTGCTTGGTACTGATTAAGGTTATTGTTGGCTTTATATGTTTTGAGAGAAAGGGAGTTTTCAAAATGTTTTGTAATATGTTACAGTGATACACATGCTTTTCTTAAAATGCAATGTGGAATCGGGTCTTTCAAATAAACTAGAGTCATGAGTTGTTTTTGAAAGAAAACACTAATTCTATTCTAACTGCAGGTCCTAAAGATACTCAGAAATAACCCCTTTCTCCCTTCTCTGGAGCCCTGTATATATTCTTTTAAACGTTGAAGATCTTTTTTAGTCTCTATATTTACTGCTAAAGCAGAAGTGTAATATGAATACAACAGTATGAATAGTTTGAAAACTCTATCTCAATTTATAACATGCTAGACTACACTAGGAGAGGTGAAGGTGATTTTTGGTTCACTGTGTTGTGGGAACACTTTCATTGCCCTAATATAATGTGTGATGCAACCCATCCCATTAAACTGCTTGCTTGCATATAACATGTTATTTGAAAACAGCAACTGCAGTTTTTTAATCTTGGCTTGTGAATCCAGCCAATATGTTTGGATTGCACTTTGTACTTTTAACAAACAGACAAAATAGGTTAAACAAAACAATGCTCTACAAAATATGGACTTTAGAATTCTGCAAATATTTTTCCTCTCCGAAGTAAATTATAACACTAAACAAAGATTGGCTTACCTAAGCTAATCATTCAGTTTACAAAAAATTAATTTTACCTAATACAGAATTTGGATTTCAACAGACTATCTTATTTGTACAAATACAGACATCTTACAAAAACACCCAATTTTTCTGCAGATGCCATTGCTGATCTTTGTGATTGTTTCTGAAAGATTTCCTGATGAGAAAAACTCTGTTGTATAAGTACACTTTACTATGATAGTCTTTATTTTCTATAACAGACTAGCAAGTATATCCAAACAAGTCATTTAGAAATATCTTATTTAGATGCCTATGAATAAGCATTAGCAACATGGCCCCATCTAATTATTCAGATCATTTAGTTATTTACAGGTTTGTTTTTATTTTTCCTTTAGCCTTAAATTCAGAATATCTGCACAGAAAAAACAACTACCAGGAATATTTATACATCTTTTTTTTTTTTTTACAAGAAGTACACATTTCAGACAACATATCAAGCAAAAATGTACTTAAAATTAGAGCTGTACAAATCCCTCAAGAGCACTTTTTAGCATACAGAAACATATATGAGCACTTCTTTTCCAACAACGTCATTTTTCTTGATTTAGACAACTTCTTTGGAAGCAGCCAGTTGTGTCCCTATTCATGTACATGCAGAGCTACTAAATCTGTGTGCATGCCCAGAGATGCATTCTGAAGTAGCCAGAAAAGTTAGAAAAAATGTGGCTGCTTTAATGACTTAACAAAAAGAACTTTGTACACATTCTTATACATTCCAAAGCATCTCTCAAAGGATCTGGCAAGCCTCAGGTGAAAAACATTTTTGTTAATCTGTTCTTAATTCCTTGATTTTAGAAGCTACAGCAACTGAAAGCATTACAGGGTAGCTTTGAGCAGCATTTATATATTTTTGCTTGGCACTGGTAATTTGATGCTTAAGTCTGCGATTTAACTTGAGCTTCTCTGTAACCATGATGTCTAAAAACATAATATTCCTCTTGACCAATAAGATTGCTTACAACTTTGGGGCTAATTTAATATTATACAACCCTATTTTTAAAATAACATTGCTTTCCAATAGAAACTCCTACTCTCAGTAATAATTGTCCATTTTAGCTCAGACTCTGGGAATGTTGCAATGAATTCCATGTCAGTAACCTGACTTTAACACTTTGATTAACTCCTATCTACAAGAAAATTCATTTGAAGTAATCATGCTTCAAAGAGAATAGAATCAGTGGAGTTTAAAACTATAACTAGATTAACTACGTATGAATAACATTCAAAAATATTGATGACAGCAGACAGACTTTCTGCTTGACTGGGCAGGCACATGTCATCATATATCTTACCTACAAAAGGTAAACAAGCTGCCTAAACAGTTGATAGGAAGCTCTAAGTGTAGCTGTTATCTTGTCTCAAGCAAGCACAGTGTGCACCAAATAGGCATTCAGTTTGCAATCTCAATTTACTTACCCATCAACATGCATTCATATTTCTGGCAGGGACTGACTAAATCTGTAGTCCCGAGTTAAGGTACAGCCAGATATCTTCAGAACACGTTTTGAAAATACCTGATTTTGAGATATTAATCTATGTGAACTGCAGAAGACAGATATTCCATTTGTTTCACCCCACTGTTAGATTCATTGGCATTCATGGAGTGCACTGGATCATTTAGCACTAGATAGTTAGACACAGTAGAATTAATAAAAGAAATGTGAATCAAGATCATTTCTTCCATGTTTGTCTAAGAAGCAATACATTAATTAGGCAAAAAAAGCCCTCTATTGAGGGATTCAAAAGATGTCCAAGGGATATAAGACAGGAATTGGATTTCAGGCCAATCATCAATAACTTTCTAATCGTAATTATGAAGAAAACTGGTGTGATCAGCCAAATTGTTCTTAGATGACATAGATAATGGAAGAGAATTATGTTTTAAGTGGAAACCAAATAATGGAAAATAGAGGAACTGCTGATCTCTTACTCTTCTTCATGTGTCATATCTTTTACTAATGGTTTCAAAAATATCCAGACATAGCCACAGAAAATGTATAAATAAGTAAGATTTTGTTTTATTTTTTCAAATGTAGAGCCTTTTTTCAATCTGTGTAGAATTCTGGGTAAGAGCATTTCTTGGTGCTGTAGGTTATTAACCAGTGAGCATATCAGATAAAACGCATTTTGGTTGAAAAAGTAGCTGAAACTTTTCTTCCCCCATAGTTGCTCACCGTCCATACATTCCAAAAACAAGAAAACTAAAAAATACAGTCACTCCAACCAAGGAAATGGTGGCAGGTACTGTGAATAACTGGCGGTAGTTGATGCGGAAGTACCAGATTACTGCCAGCATTAGCATAAAAATCGGAATCATCAAGTCACTCATGCTCAAAGTAATACTCCCAGTTTCTGATGGTGCTACCACAGTGTCAGGAATGGCAGAAACGGTCTGGGAGAGATGACAGTGGATTACACAATTGTCCAGTATATTGAGGGACTGCAGAGTCCGTGCCTGGTCTTGGAGCAGCTGACCTTGGTAGATAAATTTCATCTGACTTTCCTGGCCTGGGAAATATTTGCTTTAGAAAGAACATAGATAAATAAAAATGTTAGAAAAAAATGTGATATCTCATATTCTAATAAACCAATGATCCTTTATAAGGAAATCAACATTTATTTTATCACAAAACAGCCAAGATAGGATTTATTAATAAAGTGTTTTTATAACACTTTAAACCAATATACTTTTTTACACATTTTAGCTCACTCATGCAATAATGTCTGTATCATGCTCAATTTTCATTTTGTAAATAACTCATCTACAAACAATGCAATTTCTAAGCTTCCTTCCCATTGTGACCATGGTTATATAAATTCAGGCAGTCCTCAACTTATAACAGTTCATTTAGTAACCAAAGTTACAATGGCAATGAAAAAAGTAACGTATGACCGTTTCTCATACAACCATTGCAGCATCCCCATGATTATGTAATTAAAACTTGGATGCTTGGCAACTGATTAATAACAGCTGCAGTGTCCCAGGTTATGTGATCCCCTTTTGTGACCTTCTGACAAGCACAATCAGTTAGGGAAGCCAGATTCACTTAACAACCACATTATTAACAACTGAGGTGATTTACTTAACAAATGTAGCAAGAAAGAATGTAAAATGGGGCAACATTTACAAATTTCTCAGTTGGCACCATAAATTTTGAGCTCAGTTGTGGTCATAAGTCAAAGATTGTACCGTACAATATGTCAGAATAATCAGTTCTCTCAACAGGCTTAGGGAGTTTAGACATCCCCTATGATTCCAAAATGGAAGAAAAATTAGATGGTGATTGCTGAACTGATCTCCATCCATTTATCAGCTGGGTTTGATTCCCTCCCACATTGCAACAGTGGGAATACTGTTTAAGGTTCTTTTAAATATGTAGTATAAAGTGAGAAAAGTCTTAAACTATTCGGAGAGTTCCAAAATCAAATCTTTTTGAAAGAGATTATCTACTGTATGTTGACAAAACAATATACCATTTTGTTCTAATCTACTCTGGGATGATTTTTTTAAAAAACCTATATAATTATTTTTTTTCAAACAAAGACAGCACACCAAGCAAATATATGTTAATATTCAATAGTACCTCTTCAGTATGCCTATGGTATCTTCTGGCTTTACAATAGCCACTTCTTCTGTATCATTGAGGAATTTGAGACGCACTTTGATGAAGCCTGGGTTTGGCTCACTTTCCTCCATATTGGCTTCAGTTTGTGGAACTCCCTGGCTTTCCTGCGAAACACCATCTATAAAAAAAGTCCTTTGTGGCACACCCTGAATGTCCAATAGACAGTCTAAAGCAGCATCAGAGCCACTGCCATTATCAACTTGCTCTACTGTAAGACTAGTGCCAGAAGCAGAACCTTCATCTGCCTTTTCTTCAGTATCTTCCGTAGCATTCTGTGGCTCAGATTGTTCAGAAACAGAACTTCCCACAAAGTTTTCAATGGGGTTCAGATGGATCACTGATGAATCTCCAGTAGCCACGACAGTTCCTAGAAGATGACTGCTACCATCTGCAACATACGTAGAGAGCCAGGCCAGGACCAAGGCCATAATAAGGACCACTATACCAGCCACCACAGTAACTTCATCTCCCACACCTTCAATTAGGGTAACCTCAGGAGGCTCCATCTTTTGGCATCAACTAAAAGGGGAAAAAATAAAAAAAAGTTCTGTTTCAAAGGTTAAAAAGAATTTCAGACAACACTGCATTCAGATTGTGGTGCTATATCTTTACAGTTAAATCACAAACAAAAGGACTATGAGAATTTAGCTATTTTTATCTATAAAAATGTATCTATCATGCTGAATTTGCTTTGAGTTCTGTAAAGCTGAAAGCAATAGGAATAGTTAATTATTAATTAACTGATTCACTAAGGCTAACCAAGTTGCTGTTGTTGGTCCTAAATGCACTATTCATGCAACTATTAAACAAGTTACAAAAATCTTCTGTATCTATTAATAGCAAAGTTATTGTCAAAATTAACTTCTAATTTAGTTAATAAAGTAAAAATTATGGAGGGAAACTGTTTCCAGGGATGTAATATCTTTGTTCAATCCATACTGCAATGTAAAATTCTGAAATAGGAATTTAAAAAATGGATATTCAAAATTCTTTCAATCCATTAACTTTTCTATGCAAACGCTACTTATTGCAGTAAAAAAACTCATAAAGAAACTAAGGGAAGAAACTCTACCATTGTCTACTTGGTTAGAAGAAGCCTAGTGTTACTCGTTGTTGTTCAATAAAACACAATTACTATCTTGATTAATTGTCACACAGGAACAGCCAGATCCACACTTGAAGAGTTCACTTAGCTACTTTATTGCTCATGCCTAGTTCATAGGAATCTTTCCAGACTGACAGTTTGTACCTGGGCTAGACTAGATAAGATTCAATAACATTCAAGGGAAGGAGGGGTGGGGATGTTTCAGACCTTATCTTCTGTGCCCATGAAAGGATTCAGAACTAATTTCCCGCTTGCCAGTGTCTTTCTGACATTGTTTCACATAGTAGTCTGATTATCAGCAATAGGATAAAAATATTATGACATAATTAACATGATTTTAAATTGTTTTCTTCATAGCTTCTTTTTTTTGAAAATTTATGATTCCTCAAAATTGGGAAAAACATGCATAATAGAACTCTAAATTTATTTATATAGATTATTTTTACCCTTTTATTATTTTTATAAATAACTCAGGATGGTGACCATATCTCCTTCCTCCTCTTATTTTCCCTACAACAACAAACCTGTGAGGTGAATTGGAATGAAAGAGAGTGATTGGTCCAAAGTCACTCAGCTAACTTTCATGACTAAGACAGGACAAGAATTTACTGTCTCCTAGTGTCTAGCCTAGTAACACTACGCCAAACTGACTTTCAATTAAAGGAAAATTAGAATAATTTTTATTTAGCATAATTATTATTATGAATAATTCAGTAGCTCAGAAACAGATTTTCTAACCAAAGTGATTTCAGTGATCACTGAAATTGCCTAAAGTGTTTTCCTATGTCTACCTAAAACTTCTTTACTTATCAAGAAAGATGTAGGCTTAATTTACGTAGTAAGTGGAATGAAGCTCTTTTAATATATTAAATTGTGTATACCGTATTTTCTGGTGTATAAGATGACCCCCGACTTCAGAGAAGATTTGCATGGTTAGAAAGTTGTCTTATACGCCGGAAAATACGGTATATAATTATTTTCAGTTTAAAAAGAAACTTTTACTTGCAGATTCATGTTGCAACAAAATAATACAGTATTTCTTTATGGAAGTATTTGAGGTGGATGTGATAGAAAATGTTATGTTGCTGCTTCTGAATTGTTACAGGTAATTCTCAAGTTATAACTATGTTTTCAGCGACTTTTCAAAATTATAATAGTGCTGAATGAGGGTCCATAGTTGTGACTGTTGCAGAGTCCTCATGGTCAGGTTATCGCAATCCAGACGCTCAGTGCCTGGCTTGCAATTACATCACAGTGAGAGTGGTCCTGTGATTGCCATTTGTGACCTTCCCTGTTGATTTCCCACAAGCAAAGTCAATGGGGAAGCTGGCAGGAAGGGTTGCAAGTCATTCTCCTAAATTGTTCCCACTTTATAGATTACATATCCATAGCACTCCCACCGTCTCCACTCAGCAGTGTGCATCCACCTGCAATAACCCTACCTGGGATTTCAATATGGTGTAGCTAACATTTGAAAACCAATATAACTGATAGCTATTTCCCTTATCGTCTTTGTTATTGAAATTATTCTAGCATTTATGCAACTATTAACTTGTAGTGTTACATGTTCTGTCTAAAATACTATAAAATATGCTTTTTTGCTTACAGTCTTAAAGGCAGCAGACAGTACTACTTATAGGAAATCCTAAAACAGAATATCTTCTAATATAGGTTTAAAAAAAATCAGCATATGAGTAGACTGAGGATCTCTGACTTTCCATATTGTTAAAATCCAATTCTCAAGTCTAACACAACATGTCAATAATTAGGAATAAATGGTGATGGTTCAACATATGGAAAATTATAGATTTCTCCTCTCCCAAACCATAGTAAATACAGTAGATAAGGAAAAAGCCTATGGATCACAGTAAATAGAAACCTGAGGTATGTATTTTGTTCACTTCGGAAAGGAAATTATCTGGACTTATAACAATCAACATGCATGCTTTTTTAAACCCCTATTTTCAATATCATTCCCCCCCCACCTCCCAGGTGAGGTTAGCACTGACCCTATTCACCTTCTGAAAGTCTCTTAAGTTATGGTTTCTAGCAGGCCTGGGAATCCTTGGGAAATTGGAAAGCTCACAAGATGACTTACTACATAATCAATGTTTAACACACTCCATGGTATGTATTTTATTGTTGTTAAAGTTTATTTATGTTTTATTGTTCTTTTTATTTTTATGTCATCCAGAATCACATCTGTGAGATGGGCAACTATATAAATTTGAAAAAGAAATATAAATAAATAAACTGACTGCAACATGTAAGTATGTATAGTTGGGAGATTTGTTTTCCAAAATAGAGGCTACTAAGAAGCTAATTGAGTGGATTTTTGTGCCTATACATTTTTCTTCACCGAGTGATTGTTTTTAATATTATTAAAAATTTTATGTACAATAAAAATACAACCTAAAAAGGAACTACAAAGAATAAAATGATATTATTTGATGTCTCATCTTATTCTGCCTATTTAAGCATTTTTCTAAATCTATCCATTATTTCTCCCACTAAAGGTCTGCGTTTCCATTCATTTCATTGCCAAATTCTAGAGGAAATCCCTCCTCCAGCAATGCTGCCTTTAAAAACACAGTTCCCCATGTGTCAGCGCCCCTCCCCCCCGCCCTTTCAATGAAGGGAGGCAATGAAATCCGGGCTGAGGGGCAATATCGCAGCGCAAGAAAAGGCCTCCTTATAACACAGGGAAGGGAGGATCGATATCAGTTTAAAAGTATCGCGGCAGAGAACACAACAAAAGGGAGGAAAAGCTCCATTTTTATTTGGAAGAGAAGAAGAATCCCATAAAAGAATCACTGAGGGAGCTCAGAGGGGCGGAGGGCTCTGGGATAGGACCAAACTATGCGGCTTTTCCATAAGCGGAAACAAGATTTTATTTTATTTTTTAAAGAGGTACAGGAAAGGCTGAGGGGTTGGGGGCGCAGGAACCTATCACTCACCTTCCTTCCTCAGAGTCTCTTCCTCCAGCTTCCCAAAGGGGATACGTCACTAACGACCGCTAACACGTACTTACGCGGCGCCCGAGAACTGTTCAGCTGCAAAACTGGTTGCTATAGCAGCGGCTACAGACTAGGCCTATGATGCGATAAGCACGCGACGGGATTAGTTACGTTCTTTAATGATTACTTTTCCTATTTATAGTATATATTTATTCTTCGGATAGAGTGAGACATCAGCATAAATGGCTTGCTACTTAAATGAAAAATATCTCAGAATAGAGCGAGTTTTATAATTTTCAGGCTGCGAAGAGCAGGCTTGATCATTAGATGGCAGCAAAGCGATTTTTGCAACAAAATCAGCTAATACATTCTGAAGGCGTGTATGCTATTTTCCTTCTACTAGAAAAGAGCCCATAAAGAGGTGGAAGTTCTTATTCAGATTTCATTTCGTTTCGTTTTGACTTTTTAAAGGTCTTCGCTTCTACGTGTGTCAAGATTGTGTTTTTCTTTTTGATATTTAATTGTTTCTTAAGTATTAAGAATTATATATAATACTATATTAATATAGCTATGCTCTTTTTCTAATAATCATTGTGATTAATATGCAGTTTTGCATCTTTCTTCAAACTCTTTAGAAACTATATTGAAGAACTATTTCCTTTCAAAATCCATCAACTGTAAGAAAGGAAGCTAATTAACAGCACTGACCAGATGACTATATGCTGTGAATATAATCTCTTTCATCACAAAAGAGAAAAATATATACTTTTATTTTCTTCTCAATTTGATAAAAGATTGATGTGTTATCAAGTCATTGACCTTTTGATTTTTTTCCATAAAATGTTTATCTTACAACTCAAAATAAAAACAGCTTCTCTGTTCTATTGATACTCACAGGAAGGGTGTGTTTGTGTGTGTTGCGTATTTCAATACACTTGAAATATTAATTACCCAATAAGACCAGTCCAGCGTCCAATTTTGTATATATTTTGACTTGTGGCTGGTTAATTTCCAGACCTGTACACAAGGTTGCCATTAGCAGTCAGCAGAAAACTCCAGCTGAGGCATCCAGCTAAGATGTACCTAATTCATCCTCATCTACAACAGTATCTTTATCTAAAGATTTCTAATTATAAAAGCAAAGAGACTAATGAAGTGCTGTCACTTCCTTCAAGAATATTGCTAGTCTCGCACCATCTTGCAGACTTCAATTACTGTTTTTGTTTTTGTTCTCTAAGGCAACTGTTTCATTATGTAGTGCATTGAAGATGTTACCTAATCAAGTAATGAAAACAAGCTCAGCGAGCACCAAGAACTCCACAGTTCAACCTGGTTCCACATATATTCTTTTATTGGCACACTAGGACAGTATTTTTTATTTCAGATTCCAGCCCAAAGATTTAAAATCTTAATCTTGATGCTCATATAGTTTGCATCATTCTCTCAACATGTCCTCAGCATACTATTTCTTCCAAGGACAGCATGCCAAGGAATTGACCCCATTTAGTATTTTCAGCTTATATCTTGATAAAGATAACAATTATGAAAGAAGGCAAATATAGATGTTCCAGGATAATGTTGCAGGATCAAATCTGGGTTGTCACCAGGACTTCAGAGGTTTTGTCTTCAGAGTTTTCGGATTTGTGCTGGAGCCCATCTTCAGGCTAGAGAGAAGTCCCCTGGGAGGATGGGGACTCCAGCACGAGTCCAAAAGCTCAGAAGACAAAGCCTCTGGTCCTGGTGACCAACCCAAAGTGGATCCTACAAGATAGCAATTACAGGTAGGACCACTCCCCCTATTGTCAATGCTTAATTTGTCACTGCCAAAGCAGCTGGTGACTGTCCCACTCCATCCCACTTCATCCCCAAGAAGTCTACAGGTCACCAATAATTACTACAATTAGTATCAGATTCTTAATTGAATATAAAAATATACCAGTGATATTAATCTCCCTATCAATCTATCCTCAGCATATACATTTTTAAGTAAATATTATAATCAAGGCCAACCGAACTAAATCAGAATCAATATTGACATATGTGAATACCCGCCCTTTATTTAGATGGACAGAATATAGTAGTTAGCTGATTAGTGAGAATCCTTCATGCCAAAGAGATGGGATAATAATATGCACACATGCTCATTGTGTAGATGGAACTTCAATATGCAAGAAAATGATTTCCATCCTGAATCGATCGGATATGCATGCCTCAGAGTCTCTTAACAGGACTCACTCTTGTATTTCTCTCCATATTTTTCAGTTTTTTCTTCTGGAATGAATTCTGCTTTACACTGAAAGTGATATATCCAAGTCATATTTATCTTTAATTACTATACTTGCATATCATCCAAGAACAAGAACTGACATGGAGGTACAAGAATTATGTCTATCAACATAGCTAAAATGTTTGCTATTTGCAGTTTAATCACCATTTTAGTGGCAATAGAGTATTTCATTACAGGATGATGGAATCATATTAAATTACTAATTGCTCTCTATTTTGCCATCATCTTATTTCAGATAACCCTTTAAAGGGAGAAGTAAATATTCATGCAAAGAAGGAGGCAGTTTCAGTTGGGAGATGCCTTTATGGCAACGTATCCCTAACTGTCTCCGAATAGCACAACGAGCTAAATGTTGCAGTGGGCGAGGCTGATTCACCAGGAAAAGAACTGAATCATAGAACACTCGATGTTCCTATAAAGACGTAAAGAAAAGTTAAATGTGGGTTTTGTTCATATACGGTGCATCAATAGGAAAACATCAGGAGACAGACATGTTATACAGTAATTATTATAACAGTTCCCTTGTGAAGAAAAATTCTCATATTCTGCAACAGACTACATGCCCCATGGAGTAATCTTTAAAGTTCTCTGGTTCATACACATATAATGTATGTTCCTAAATATTACATAAATTTCCAAATTCTAAACCACTTTCTCCAAATGTTCTAAGCTGTATCTATTATATTGTCTGTATCAGGACAGTCAAGAACTAATATATATCTCAACAGCTGTGCACTTTCATCCATCACTATTTATTGCTTAATCTTGACATAACTTCCAGATTTGGTCTATTTGATTGGTAAGGCAGTTTATGATATCTGTTGCTGTTCTGATGTCATAGTTCCACCAGCCAACTAAGCTTAGGTCTTTTTAGATTCTACTTTATATTTCAACAGTATATATAATTTGTGAAATTTAATCCCTACACATAGAACTAATTGTCAAAAATCTTACTTAAAATCCATGTTATGGGAAAGGGTCAAATGATGGAGTATGTTTTTACTTTAAAAAAAAAGCAGTAAAAGCCAGGACATTCCATTTTAAAATAAATCCCAAATCCATGATTGGAGAATACCTTTATTAGAATTAACTAGAGCAGTGGTGGCGAACCTATGGCACGGATGCCAGAGGTGGTACTCAGAGCACTCTCTGTGAGCACGCGCGGCATTGCCCCAGTTCTAGACCTTCATCTGGATTTTATAAAACCTTTTCCCTTTAGGCCTCCGCTTCCGTGTGCAAAAAAAAAAAAAAAGGTTCAATCAATCAGTCAATTTCAACTTCTCGCGGGGAAAAAAAAGATCTTGCAAAGTTGGAATTGATTGATTGAACTTTTTAGTCCCACCCAGTCTGCTGTTACCACCGCAGCCATGCCCACCCAATGGGCCACACCCACCCAATGGGCCACACCCACCCAGCACCCAACGATGCATAAGTGGGTTTTGGGTTGCAGTTTGGACACTCAGTTTCTAAAAGGTTCGCCATCACTGAACTAGAGTAATACAAAAAGGATATATAATCTTTTGAATTTTCCAGAATTCTGGGACTATCATTAATAAGAGGTTCTAGATTTACCAATGTTTTTTACTGCATAGAAATCTCTTCCCCACCCTGCAAGATTTCTCCAGAGATAACCAAAAAATACTATCATGTGATTTTTCACTTACACTACATCAGAGATCCCCAATCTTTTGGGCACCAGGGACCAGTTCTGTGGAGAGAGGTTTTTCCGCAGACCAGAGGGGGCGTAGTTTTGTGTGCTGCCTGCATCTGTGGATGGAGCTTTCCTTGTTTGTGCAGACCGGTTGCTGGCATGCCACAGCCCGGTACTGGTCCACGGACTGGGAGTTGGGGACCCCTGCACTACATGATCAAGCTATGTTCAGTGTACACAAGAATATAATTTGATCGTTTAAAGGAGAATTAATCTTATGAGAGCATACAGCTGACTTTCAAACAATGTGATAAGAGCCAGAATTAAAGAAGTAATTTTGGAGTTTTAACAGGAACAGGAAAATTGTAGAGGGCGTAGAGAATGGCCTTGAGAGATAGGAGAAAGAACCCTTACTGAGTGAGTAGTCATGAATTCTAATACATGACTAGAACTCGATTATTGAGTGGTCAGATGGTAATAACAATGCAGGCAGGGTATGGTTACTTTAAAGGCTTTATAGGAAGCAATTCTGGTATGTACAATCCAGTTGTAAAAACTAATTCTTGTAAAGATATGGTTACTTGAATCTAAGCTATGAAGTCAGACTGACTACATGATTGTTTATTTCTTCTTTAGAGAAAAGGAATGATACCCAAAAAACTGACGGGTTTCTCAGCTAGCATTTCCCTATCTTACTCCATACATTGTAGTACAAGTCCAGATTTCATTCAGCAAGAAAAACCCAAAGGGCAACATAATGGTAGAAGAGTATGACATGCAACTAATGGTGAACAATAAAAGTACTGTTACTTACTTGCCACATTTCAGTGGGCACAGATCCTACCCAGGAATCACAGGACAGTATTCGGTCATAAGAATTCAGAATTATTTCCATAGATCGAGGTGATGACACACAAAACTTTAGCATCTAAGTACAAAAGAATTAAGAGAAAGAGAGCAAAAAAATATATAAAAATCATGAATATCTTGGAAAGAAAAAGGAATGTTTTCAAGTAAAAACCCTATATTCTCACATCATCTATAGGAAGCACTATCTGAGAGAAACATTAAAAACAGCATTATGTCAATTTTTATCTAGGAGATGGTTTCTATTTTTAAGACTGGTATGGACTTTGAAGAGAAAAATATGGCTACAGGATTGCCCTGCCTTTACAGAGAGTGAAACAAGTGCCTCTGGTTATAAAAACTTTAGGTAGTGTTATCCATTCCTTTTAGATGTCTAATAGGATAGAGCCTGTTTGGCATCCTCTACCTTCTATATGTGAAATCAAAGGACCAAATCTCTTGTCCTTGTCCAAGAAGGAAACTGTCCTGAGTTGGCCATACATTTTAAAAATTACAAATATTATTCCTTACCTATATTATTGTGATATAATATTATGCAATCCAAAACTAAGTCAACAGTTTCAAGAAATGGTCTCCCATAGCATCAAGAAATCACTAGAACTGAAGGCACTACTTTTACCTTAGAATTAATAGAGCCAGCACCATGGTTGAGCAACATGGCTATAACTTTTTCAGGCTCTTCATCCAGGTAATCTTCCACTGCTTGCAAAGCACAGTCCATAGGAGTATTGCCAGCACAATTACTAATATTGACTTCTGCCCCATATTGTAGCAGGAGCTTCACAATACCAATGTGACAGTTGCTACAGGCATTGTGCAGTGGAGTATGGTTCTTTCGGCCAGCAATCTGGACATTGGCCCCGCCATCCAGAAGTTGCTTTACCACTTGGTAGTAGCGTCCAGCCTCCTCAGGTCTATCTGCATTGGCACAAGCTGTGTTGATAGCTGTCTCTCCTTCCTGGTTTCTATGAGCAATATTTGCTCCATAGCAAAGATAGAGTTTGACATGATCCTCTAGACCATGCCTGCTAGCCACATGCAATGGGGAAGCATGACCATCTCTTGATTTCTGGTTCACTAGAGCCCCATATTCCAGTAGTAGTTGAGCACATCTGAAAGGCACAGAGTTGCATTAAGGAATTTTGCAACTGCCCTACAGTCCATTGCTATTTAATTTTACATTTTATTGGCTTTAAAATATATTTTAAAATATTGCAGAAATAGATTCCGATGCCCATAGCTAAATGCCCCATTGTTAAGCACTCTTGTACTGCTTGTAATTACATATGGGCTTCATTCCACTATATCCAGTAACACTCTTTACAGATCTGTTAAGCACAGCTTTCAATTATGTCTTTTATTATAAGATAAACCATATAAATGAATAAGTAAAACTTTATCGTTCCTATAAGAAAAGTCAATGGGGAAGTCGGCAGGAATTTGTTCCTGCTCCTGAGTTTCTTGGGAAAGATGGCAGGATGAAAACAGCTCTGTGGACAAGCAGAGCCAACATTTGCAGCATTTATAAAAGAGCCAATGCTGATTGAGTACTACAATTCTTTCTATCTAGATCAAAGAGAGAGACACAAATTGCCTACACAGTTTTTCCTTATGGTTGTTCCTCTTCCTCATGATGAGAACCTCAGGACAGTGATCTCTATACAGATGTGTGGAATCGGGAGACAGAAGACTTTATCATTTTTGCTCCAAGAGCTAACCAAGGCTTTCAAAGGATGCTAAATTTGTGCACTTACCTTGCTAACTAATAGCAAAGCTGAAAATACCAGGTGACTAATCCTAAATATAAGAATATGAAGATTTATTTTTCTAATGTTTAATAACTTAAACACCAAAAAGCAAGACAGGCTACTTAAAGTTTAAAGGGCATAAAAATGTTGGGGCTTACTTGATTAGAACTTTGACATTTTATTTTAAAAATAAATGTGTCCTACATCATGATTTTGATTCAATCATATCAGCTATGTTGAATCTTCCTGAGAACAATTTGTTCCAAAAAATGTTACAGAACAAGTTATGCAGCAAAATTTATTCAAAAAAATATGAACAAGACTCTGAATAAGAATTTGTTACTAGATATAGAGAAAAATGGATAAGGTTTTAAAATTAAGAAGGAAGTAAAAATAATTCTAGAGAACACTTAGAATAATTTTGTTTCGAGGGAATTTAAAAGTGCTAAAAAAATTTCTAATAAAGATCAACAAACATCTGAATAAATTACTATAGTCAGTTTATTCAACCAGGGTTAAAATGGGATATTTTGTTGGATCTACTGATATCTTAATTGGAAAAAAAATTGGCATACTGGATATGCTTATATTTAATGAGATATAAAAGCCTTTTCTCCTATAATTCATGTAATACTAACTTTATAGTACTTAAACTGGCTTTGCAATTTTCTTTGTTAATTTAAAATAAGGAAGCTTGGAGAAGAGCCGCGTGATGGCCTGGTGGTAAAAACACTCATCCCCCATTCAGAAGGATGAGTTCAATCCTAGGTAGCAGCAGCAAATTCTACATAGGCCTCAGGAAAGGCATTTGACCAATAAATTCTTAGCTCCATCCAGTCATCCCAACTCTACCCCGAATTAAGGGATTATAGTGTCATAAAGAGAAGAAAAAGCTTGGAGAACTTTTCAAACAAGAAATTATTTCTCATTACATTAAATTTTAATCTTTTGTTTATAATAGGACACTGGGAAACAACGTATTTATAAAATGTGGATACACTTATACAAGTAGTCCTTGATTTATGACAATTGACTCCCAAATTTCTGTTGCTAAGCAAGAAAATTAAATGAGTTTTGTCCTCTTGCCACAATTGTTAAGTGAATCATTGCAGTTGTTAAACTGATAACATGTTTAACTGAATCTGATTTCCCCATCGAATTTGCTTGTCAGAAGGTCATAAAAGGTGATTACACGACTCTGGGACACTACTGTCATACAAGCCAGTTGCCAAGTGTACAATTTTTGATCACATGACATGGATGGCAACAGTCCTAAGTATGAAAAATGTTCATGTCCCTTTTCTTTCAGTGCCATTGTAACTTTGAACAGTCGCTAAATGAATGGTGGTAACTTGAGAACTACCTGTAGTTTAAAGCAGGGGTCCCTAACCCCCGGTCCATAGACCGGCACCGGGCCGTAGCATGCCGGAAACCGGTCCACACAAAGAATGCAGGCAGTACATGAAACCACACCCCCTCCGGTCCACAGAATAACCTCTCCATGGAACTAGTCTGGGACCTCTGGTTTAAAGGGAAGATATGGAATTCATATGTGAACAGGATTGGCTGTTGTTTGAAATGTTGTTTGGAACTTGTCTTCTGTAAAGAAATTCTCTCTCTCTATTGTTAAAGTTGGGTTTTCTTTTGTTTAGAGCAGGACTTTTCAACCAGTGGTACGGGTTCCACCTATGGTACATTGACACCTGGCAGGTGGTACGCGACCATCCTAGAAAAGTGGTAGTGGGGGAGGGGAATGAGCTGAACCGGTGGCAGCACCGCACAAGCCTGAGAGATGGCTGGAGCTGCAGGACTGTCAGGACTCAGTGGAAGCACCAGGATCAGCGCCAGGCTCCAGCTGGAGCTCGGCGCTGATCCTTGTGCTTCTGCTGAGCCCAGAAGTGCCAATCAGTTGGAAAGCAGCACTGATCCTGGTGCTTCTGCTGAGCCCAGAAGAAGCACCGATCAGCTGGAATGTTGCAGCATCTCCAGGGTCTTGTGATTTACATTCAGATGCTTGGCAACTGATTCATATTTATGACAGTCAGTGTCCCAGGGTCATGAGAAGTGACCAAAACCTGCTGCAACCACCCAGCAGAGGGGGGAATAAAAACCAAACACCCCCTTACCCCACCTCCACTCCTCAACAGAAATGCTCACAATGAAAACCTCGGACAGGAGGAAGAGCGTCGCCGGGCGGGCAGGCAGGAGTCTTGCTCGGCTATGGTTTGGAGGGCACTTTTTTCAGTGCCATTGTAACTTCGAACAGTCACTAAGCGAACTGTTGTAAGTCGAGGACTACCTGTACTTTATCACTTCCCCCCCTTTTTTTTGGTCATCAAGTTCTTGACACTTTGCTAGGTGATGGGTGGTACTTGGATGTTGCCATATCCTAAAAGTAATACATTGGGTGAAAAGGCTGAAAAGCCCTGGTCTAGAGCAGAATGTTGGGACCATTGTATGCTTTTTTAAGTGAGATTTTGTTACAGTTGAGTTATAGTATTGAGTTGTATATACGTTAATTAATATTAAATTTTTAATTGCTGTTTGGATGTTTTGCTGGTAATTGGATTGAAGAAGAGATTACTTATTTGCCTATTGTTAAGAGATAGATTATGGGATGAATTTATATTTATTAGGTGAAGAGACCATGGAATTGTTTATATTTGCCGTGATGATGGTGGGAAGTCTCATTCTTGAGGTTTCTTTTTATCCTTTTTTCTTGCATTTTTCCTTTTTTTCTATTCTAATTATTAAAAACTTTTCATAAAATTATTTTTTAAAAAGGAAGTTGCTCCACTCCTTTTGCTTTTCTACCCATCTGCAGTTATTCTGTTTCTCGGTTTAGATAAGGAAATATCTTTGAAACAATGGGTCATTAGTTGTGTAGTTCAGGTAATAAAATCTAAAAGGTTTCTATATGCCCTTCTATCACATTGAATACACAGATTTCCATATGAATAGTCTGCCTTCAAAAAGTAACTAATGTGCAGCTTCTTACATGTCTTGCCCCAAGAGAGTAATTTAATGTCAAAGAATAATTCTTGCACTTGGAGACGCTTCTTTGCTATTTTACAAAATATGCAACTACTTTCCTATTAGCCTGTCTTTAATTTTCCTTTAAGTCATCACACCCATAATTCTTTCAACTTCCCAGACGTACGGCAAAGTTTCCTGAGTGTTGCACAAATGCAATGGGGCCAGCCCCTCCTCTGAAAGAATATTAGCATTAGCACCAAAGCGTAGGAGCAGACGGGTGCATTCTTCATGGTGGTTGGCACAGCTATCATGCAAAGCAGCTTTCCCACCAATAACTGCATTGACCTCTGCCCCTTTCAAGAGCAGATGTTTCACACAGTCTTGATAGCCTCTGGCAGCTGTGATTCGCAATGGAGAAGTGTGCTTCTTTTGAGCAGTCAACACCCACAACCCTGTAAAACCAACAAAGACAATTGATTGGGCAAAAGCTTCATGTATTTAAACATGGAAAAATATATTATCACAATATAGACTTCAGTTAAATCAAATCAAGTAAGTTTATTACAGCCAAAGACCAGAAATCAGAACAAGTTAAAAACACTCAAAGGGTATCCAGTTAAAATTTCTAGAATAAAATAATAAATAATAGATAAAATCTATATTAAAATTATAATTTGGCATCCAGTCTATCAGTATAATATAATATCAATCCTTGAACTGTGAGGCCCATAGTCATTAAATACTAAAATGCAAAAGAGTAGTAATGCAAAAGGGTTTATTGCATTAATTGTGTAAAGTAGCTATGGTGGATTAATCATGTGCTTGTTATCCAATTATGTTGGTTGGCATTAAACTGAGGACACTTTTTCCCTGTAGCACATTCATTACTGCTAACTGTTGATGGGCACCAGCTGAAGAGTGTTTTACATACGAGTTGTTGTTTATTCAGAATTAATTTATTTTATATGGAGAACTTTCAGAAAGATGGAATATAAATTAAGGGACAACAAAGCTACTAGTTATGATAATAAAACTAAATATTCATAATTATCAGACTACAAAACGGCTCCCCTAGAAGTTTACACATTAATACAAATAACTCAAACATGTTTATTCATGGATTTCCAAGAAATATTAGTGCCTCAAATACTAAACATATAAAAGCTGGTCTATGTAGAAGTTTGGCCTGACTCAGTTTTATTATAGAATTTGAGGAAATACTATGCTGTTTTAGGCTTAACTTGAGCACTAGAATGAAAATACAGAGGAAGAATAAAAGATGCAAAACATAAAAACAACTAACTACAGTCTTCTACAATCTCTTGCATCAATGGTACATTTCCTTACAGTTTTTTTTTAAAGAGGATGATACACAGCTGTGTGGGGAGAAGAGAAAAAAAGAAATGTATTACATTTAAAATGTTTTGCTTTTCATCCAATTCCTGAGGATTATAGTTTGGTGACAGTCATTAGTGAAATAACTTCAAATATATAATTGAAACAGATACAGGGTTAGGGATAAACTTCTGTCTTGCCTCAGAAATAGAAACTAAAGACTCTAGTCCCCAAATAGAGATTGAAAACTATTTCTATAAAAGAATACATTAAATAAATCTAAATCTAAAGAAGAATAACAACTAAGAGCAACATATTAAATTTATATGCTGCCCATCTCCCAGTGAGTCTAGGTGGTCAATTCTAGGAAACCTTAACTGTTACTATTAATTCAGTCTTAGAATATCTATGTTGTAATGTTTATAATTCATATCACTTAACATACAATTCTAATTTCATCAGTTTTACTTTCTTATCAGAGTTTTGGATAAGAATGAAAATAGATGCTGTGAATAAATTTAATTATTTTTCTCTATTCTTATTGCAAAGTTTAACAGGTAAGTACAATTCAAGCAAAGCTTATACTATTTACTGAAAAGATAACAGTACTGTATTCTTTCCTTCCCTTTCTTTCCTTCCTATTATAGTAATGAAAATATTTTTAAAAAAATGACCAAAAACATGTGAAGTTTAGACATGGAAGTGGATGACTGAACACATAAATAAGGCAGGGTAGTAGTATGATAAAAGGCTCTGGAAAATAAACTTCTCTGTGCCTCTACTTTACTCAGAGCTTTTTTTTTTCAGCTAAAAGAAATAATCAACACAGACTTCTTCATTTCTTATGGAATTAAAGTTCATATATTACAAGCCTCTGTTTCACAACACAAACAGTGAATGATTGTTTAAAACCTGAAGAAAAATGACCAGCCCTACTTCTTTTTCTTTCTGCAAGAGATAACACATCTTACCCTGATCAGCTGACCACTCTAGCACTTCCACCTGCGTCTCCACAATCAAGTTGGAAGTGATTTTATCTTTAAAAATGATTTGGATCCTTGGCAAGTCTCCTGTGTAAAGGGCATTGTGAAGAGCAGGATCCCGACAGTATTCAAGATGCCTGGTAGGCTTGGGGAGAGAAAGGAGGCTCCTGGCAATTGGATGATATCTCTGGCTGGCCCACTGGCGAGATGCAGCCCTCTGCTTTTCTTCCCACTCCAGCTTTTCTCGTTGCAGCCGCAAGGAGCGCAGAGTGGAAGAGGTGAATACAAAAGTTTCCTTTGACATTCTTCTAAGTAAGAAAGGAATTCAGCGTTTTCTACACAGTAGCCAACTCAACAACCCCAAATCGTTTAGGAAAACAGCTATTATTTCCAATTTTTAAAAGCTACTGTTATGACAAGGTCTCACTGACAAGCACATCTGCGTACTTATTACCCAGGGTTATAAATAGAATTGAGTAGTCATCGTAGAAGCAGTGTCATCTTTCTTTTTAGAACCTGAGCAAAAAAAGGAACATCAGTTCTTAAGTTCAATTAGAAAATCAGTAATAAATCAATTTATATGCTGTTTCAAAATATCAGTCAAATTGAGAATAAATTAATTACTGTTGATAGTCCATATAATAAGAAAGCAAATAAAAGTTTGCATGTCTAATGTAGATAGCCATAGATCCGTGGTTTTCAACCTTTTTAATGCCGCGACCCCAACCGGTCGTAAGTCGAGGACTACCCAACTGGTCGTAAGTCGAGGACTACCCAACCGGTCGTAAGTTGAGGACTACCCAACCGGTCATAAGTCAAGGACTACCCAACCAGTCATAAGTCGAGGACTACCCAATCAGTCATAAGTTGAGGACTTTCCCTGCCCGGGAGCGCCACGCATGCATGGTGCCGCTCCCTGCGCCGGCCGAGGCGTAGCTGGCAAGGGCAGCGACAGCGCAGGGCGACCACCGGCTGGGCCACCAGCTGCCCAGCCCAAGGGAGGTAAGGCACCCACTGGGCCCCACGCGTGCCAGCAACCCTCCCTGCGCCCGCCAGCCTCCCACCTCCCACTCCTGGCCCTCTTTTACTTACATTTTTAGTAGTTGCTCAGCAGGGAGGGATGGAAGCTTCCAGACAGCTCGCCTTTGCTTCAGACAACTTGCAGCACCGTTTGCAGAATGGGCCTTTTGGCGGGCTCAGCAGGGCAGAGACAGCCTGGACAATTCCTATTGGCTTTTGAAAGCCAATAGAATAGGCTCTCTTGAATAGTGAGACTTTCAAAAGCCAATAGAATAAAAGGGAGTAGCACAGCTAAGGAAAAGGGGAAAAAATGGCGGATTGCGTTGTTTGACAACCCCCGTGAAATGGTCGTTCGACCCCAAATGGGTCGCGACCCACAGGCATAAAATAGTAGAAAATGTTTCCAGAAGAAAATGCAGATGAGCAGAATGAAGCAAATGAAGAACAAGGTAGTAAAGTGTATTGGGTTTCTTCCAGGTATAGGTAACATTTTCAATATGGTCCTTTAAGGAATTTTTTTTTCTCATTCTGGTGCACTTGAAGACCATGATTCAAAATAGCAACTCTTTTCTCAAATAATAAGAATTCAGCCTGGAGCACATCTATTAATAATATCTCAAGATAACTTGACACAGTTTCTTCACAACTCAAGAATGGTAAAAGAAATGTGCACACATAAGAATGAGCTACAGAGCAATACTACTGAAGTGCTATATATGGCCTAGTCCACAGGTCGGCAACCTGCGGCTCCAGAGCCGCATGCGGCTCTTTGAGCCTTCCCCTGTGGCTCCCAGCCTCCTCTGCCTTTGCAGAGAGAGAGAGAGACAGAGAGAGGCAATTGCACTTCCCTGCTTCTCTCTCTCTCTCTCTCTGTGTGTGTGTTTTGTGTGTGTGTGTGTGTATGTGTAAAAGAGAGTGCACTCACAGTGTTCTCCGAGGAGCTGAAAAGCTTTCTGGGCGGAGCTCCTCCCTTTGCTGCGTCTCTGAAGGAAGCAGGTAGCAGGAAGGGCAGGAGAGAGCTAGCTAGCCCAGCTAGGCTGACTCAGGAATTCTGGGAGTTGAAGTCCATGAGTCATAAAAGACACGAGGTTGCCTACCCCTGAGCTTGTTGGACAACAGCTTGAAGCTTGCCAGGTGAGCAGCAGATAGGAGGGGGGAGAAAGAGAGGAAGAGAAAGAGAGAGAGAGAGAGGGAGGGAGGAAGAGAGAGAGAGAGAGAGTGGGGGAAGAGGAGTGGCAGACCAAGGGCAGATAGAGAGGGAGGGAGAGAGAGAGACAGAGAGAGAGAGACCCTTTTGATATCTAAAATGAAGATAACACTGCATATATCCTTTTTTTACCTTTGTGTGTATGTAATTTTATTCTCTTAAAGCATTCTCTCGGTGATCATTGTTTTAATAGTATGGATATTCCCAAGAGTCATATTTTTACTTTTATTTTTAATGTGTGTGTGTATATATATACACACACATACACAAACACACACACACACACACACACACACACACACACACACACACACACCTATAATAAAGGTAAAAAAGGATATATGCAGTGTTATCTTCATTTTAGATATCAAAAGGGTTTTGCGGCTCCCGGTGTTTTGTTTTTGGTGGGAAACGGGTCCAAGTGGCTCTTCGAGTGTTTTGGGTTGCCTATCCCTGGCCTAGTGAAACAGCCTTCCATGAGAGTCAGATTTTCCCATTTACTAAGAGAAATCTCTGCATGAGAGTTGAGAACACAAGGTCTTTCATACATAAAAATATGCTATTGCATTGTCCAATATCTCTTTCTCTAAGTGGTCCTCAACTTTTTAAATAAATTATAATTTTGAAACTAATTAAGAATGCCAAATAGGCGAATGCATCTGTACTTCAACTATCATCTTTGCCTTCTATGACAACCATCTGAGGGTAAATTGTTTTTGTAGACTGAAATCATATGAAAGGGTGCTGCTATTCTTCTACATTTCAACAATTATGTTGTCTTCCTTGTTGACTGATTTTCTGTATACTGTATTTTCATCCACCCAGTGTTATTTTTTGCACCTCACTGATTTGAATAATTTCATTAATATATAATCTATGCTTTGTTCAGAGATCAGTATCTAAAAGATTATTCTCACTGGAGCATCTCAAAGAATTGCATATTGAAGAACCAATGTAAACACACTCCATTTATGCACATAATTCATCTGGCAGACAGATACACTGGCCCTTAAAAAACATTTACAAAGTAGGTTTACATAATTTGATAAATATGCATACAATTTATCAGGAATGTTTAGCAATCCATTTGGCATTGCCAACATTTTGCACAAGCTGACTCAAATTCTTATTTGAATGAGTGCATGAAATTTGACCTCTGTCTTGACATTTAGAGCCAAAGTCCTTTTCCATGTATATGCTACTATATATATAATAAACTCTTCGCTTTTTATTACGTATCTTTTTTTTCTAACTTTCCAAAAGCTAAAATGAGAATTGAGTTTATTTAGTTTGTGTATCTAGAGGCCCTTACATGAATCTCTTTGTACGAAACAAGACTTTTTTCTGTTTGAATATGCAATAAATATATGGAACTAAAAAACTGGAATTGTGGTATGTATGTGCAAAAATGTTACAATTCTCACCACATCTTGAGTTCAAATGGTATGAAGTTACCTAATTAAAAAAAAAAACTGTTTCCAGAATGTTTTGAAAAAGCTTTATATGCACATTATTAAAAGGGAGGTAGGCAATGGCTGAAATAGAAGAAATTAATAACGGAGCCAATTTGGTGTTGTGGTTAAGGCAAACCAAGAAATTGTGAGCTGTAGTTTCTAAAAGCCAAAGTGACTTTAGACTAGTCACTATCTCTCAGCCCAACCAAACTCATAGATTTGTTTTTGTGAGGAAAATAGAAGAAGTATGATGTATGTTCATCCCCTTAATTACAAGTGGGATAAAATCAATCAAAATCAATCAATCAATCAATGTAAATAAATACATGTTGAACTAGACAATCTTTTGTTAAGCTTCAGAAACACTTCAACAGATATATTTTTCATATTTATTTTTCAGACAGTATCAATTAACATAAAGTGTTATTGTTTTGGAAGACCAGTTAGAAGACAGCTTGTTTTGCCTGAAATAGTGTATAACAAAGCACCAAAGTAAACATTCAATACATACCTAAGACAATTTCAAACCAAATGGAGTAACAGGTACTTAATAGTTTAAAAAGTCATTGTAGGTCATTCCAATAGCCTGGCAAAATTAATTTTCTGAAGAGACAAATCTATAATAAGATCTGGTGCAGGACCTCAGTACTAGTGTGCAATGCAGCATCTCTGACGAAAACCACCCAAGTCTTTGCAATCACAGGAGGAAAATTAGCTCAATAACCAACCATCTTGCTACTCAATCTATTTCTATCTAATCACATAAAGGGCAGCTTATGTCCAATTTATAAAAGATTTTTTTTAGTAATTAGAAAATGCCCCTGCAAGGAAGTCTATCATGGTACAAAAGGGCTCATGAACCCAGGACTATGCCCTTGATCCTACCCAGCAAGTCCTTTTAGGATTAGTGAGCTGTCATAAGGTGTTCTGTTCTTCCAAGCTGGAGAAAAAGTCATCAGGGAGTTCACCAAGAAGCTGGTCCAGATCATCTACAAGGACAAAATGAGAAGACAGACCAAGTTTTTTAAAATACATTAATTTAACATTAATACATCAATACGTTAATCAGTCTGGGCAATATGGTGGCACAGTAGTTAGAATGCAGTATTGCAGGCTAAGTCTACCCACTACCAGTTCGATCCTGACCAGTTCAAGGATGACTCAGCCTTCCATCCTTCCGAGATCGGTAAAATGAGGATCATATTGTTTGGAGCAATGTGCTGCCATCTGTAAACCGCCCAGAGAGTGCTGTAAAATACTGTGAGGCGGTATATAAGTCTAAGTGCTGTTACTATTGCTACATGAAGAAATTCTGGTCTGGACATATTTTAATATTTTATTGTTTTTTCAGTGTCTATTTTTTCCGTGATAAGAGAAAAAGGAAGAGAGAAGAAAATCTTTACAAACTTGCTTTCTGACAAGCAAGTTCATTTTTAATGCTTAGTACATTCTATACTTAGATGACACTGAGCGAATAAAACATTTAATCTGTCATATCCTAAGAATTTGTTTTTTTTTCTTTGAAAAAAAACTCACAGCAGACCCTTATATTATAGCCATGGCAGCACAGATAGATGGAACACACTAAACAAGAGTTCCATGACTGCACATAAGACATAACAAGTGCAGCTCTTAGTAACTTCCCCATCATCTCAAAGCATTATAGCATATACATTTTTTAATCTAAAATTGGTGTTGCAAGCTATCTCATTACCTATAAAGCTCCACATGTTTTATTTCTTCCCAACATCTGCCCATACCATGTACACTAACAGGATAGAAATGTTTCAAGTCCCTTTTCTAAAACAATGTTATTTGATTGGACCCAGAAAGTATGCATTTTCTGTGGCAGTGCCTGCCCTCTGGAACAATTTCATCCTCCACTAAGAAAACATACATTTGTCTTGACTCTATTAGCCTTTAAAAAAGCATGAAAATCTTGGCTCTTTCTCAGGTGCTGGAGAGGTGTGTGTATGTGTATGTGTGTAAAAATAGGTGCAATGTGAGGGCTAATATCTGATTTTACAAGCATTATCTAGCTCTGCAAAGCTTCCCTTATTTTCCATTTTAAAAGCACAGAGATGAATAATGAAAGAAAACAGATAAGAAGATAAATATCACTGTTGAGCATTCTATTTACCCAAATCAGCTCTCTCAGTGGATTTGCTTGCTCCACAACTTCCTGATTCTTGTAATAATGATGGACTTTCATTTGATGCTAATATACGATGACATCTCTTCTTATTTCTCTCACATCCTTCCACATTTTTGTTATCCACAGTGGCCATTATAATCACAGCACTTATGGGAGGATCCTGTTATAATTTTAAGACAGCATGCACATGTAACATTTCATAGACAGCTAACAAACTAAGTATTTGCACAATTTATTTAATTTATTTGCTGCCTATCTCTACTCTAGATGACTTACAATAAAAACAAAAATGAAAAGAAATGTAAACATAGTAGTAATCTAAAATAGAACAATTTACAACTTCCTCACACCATGAATGCCATCCAGGACCAGCAGAAAAAAAATCAGAGATGCTTCCTACCATCTCAGATCATTCATCCATTCCGTATCATTCTGTTCAAAATGATAATCTGCGGCTCATTAGCCTCAAAAATTGAAATTTGAGTCCCATTACCAACAGAACACTCAGTCATGATATCATATTATATCTTCGGATCAATTTTTAATTCAAGATGATACATGTTCTAAATGATCTGAATAATTGTAGACCATCTTTTTTCAATTAATCTGCATTTAAACATCAAGTGATCAAGACCTTCCCTGGGTTCCACTTATAGGGAAAATATCACTGGCTAATATATGAGATTGGATTAGAATAATAAATGCTTTGAAAAAGATCCAGAAAAAAATATTTTGAACATCACCACCATCACCATTAAAATTTTATCCTATAATTCAAATGGGAAACATATTTAATCATGCCTATTTTTTAGAGCAACCCTTTGAGGTGGGTAAGGTTAAGAGCAACTCCCTCCTATGGTTGAGGGAGGCCTAGGATGCAGTCTCTTACTACACCCCTATACTACGCTATTATGCTAAACTGGCTCTCATGGGAGCATATTTTTCTGCTGTTCAGTAATGAATCATTTCCACGAGTCTATATTTAGCTCTCTTGGATTTAAATTAAGCTTTCTTGAGTCTCAGTTTAGCTAGCTATAAACATGAAATTTCCTACATCTTTTCCTATAATAGTCACATTTCTAATTTTCTGACAATTAAAATGTTACTGTTGTTGTTATCATCACATCCTTACCTGTGGTGTCACAGTCTCACTTGTTTCCCAAATCTCTTGGTATGGCTGAGGCTGATTTTCATTGTTGAAACCAGATGAATATATTTTCACCAGGTTACTGGGTGTCACATTGAGGTAGTGATTGCGATGGGATGGAGAGAACACACTCACCTGTGAAGATAGCTATCAGTTCTTTTCACAATAATATGTGGCATTACTAACATGCTAATCTGTATAGGCATGCTAAACTTTGATGCCAGCAGATGAAACATTTCCAAATCTTGTCTCTCCAGTGATGCTTGTTGAAATGATCTATGTATGTATGTGATAGTCACGCTAACTGCATTTCTTGTTTGCATTTTAAAGAACAATAGGAAGGAAACAACAGTTATATATAAGAATTTTTTATCCACTGCCAGTGGATAATTTGATTTCTGTCCATTGCACTGAAATAATACAGCAAGATTAATATACGTGTCTACAATAGGAAGGAATTGACATCCATCTTAAAAATGTCACATGGAAGTGTGGGTGGGGGAATTGATGAAAGTATTTGCATTAGATAATTAGAATGCTTATTGAAGAAAACTCTAAAAGAAATAATATTGTTTTACTAATTCTATGTTTTGCCAGACTATATTTATTCAGATTCCAGAGATTTTAGAGACAGCATGAAAATATACATTACAAGCTTCTTGGACAGAAACTTTTCTTTATCTTATTTTAACATTCTTTGAATTTTGCAAATGCAACCAAAGATTTTACATACATATTATTACTTTTGGAATGGAAATTATCAAGGCTCATCCAGACTTGAATTTCTTGCTTTCTTACCTGTTTTAGCAGAAGCACTGAACCAGTTTTAAATTCACTTTCTTTTTCTTCCAGCAACAAACGATGTATTGTGCCCTGCATTTCACCTATTTGATAGAAGGTCAGACAAATGACAGCAACAAAGAGAATCTACCAAAATGGTATTTAGCAGTAATTCTAATTTGCTTGTACAGAATATAGGGACCGGATTCAAGCATGTGATCTGTTACTTGCTCAAACACAGCAGTTATTCCCAAATGTGTAGTAGAATATTTAATGCCAAGGACCGGGGATTGGAGACCCCTGCTCTACATGACACAAATCAAGATTTCAGTTAAGTTACAAACTGCAAGGGAAAGCATTATCTATACCAACCCAGAAGGGTTGAACTCTTTTTACCCTTACCAGTAGGGTCCCTGAACTCAGCACCTGCATCAACATTAGTCCTCATCAGTGATTTAATCATTACTGCCATATTTGGAACCTTGTTCTTTGGGAGTTGCTTCAGAGCTGCCTAAATGAAAGAAACCAAGCAAGGAAGAGAAAATCTCCAACATGAATTGGGAATGCATTCAATTGTGGAAAAAAAATGTCTCACGTTAAGAAGTTGACAAAGGAGATATGTTGAGACATTCTTCAGCAGCTTATTTTTTCCCTTCACAAAAGAGACAGAGAGCATAATATAGAGGGCTAAAGGAGATTAATTGGAGAATGATTTTTTTCATTATTCTTAAATAGATAGCTTAGAATTAATTAAATAATCTTCTGAGGGCAGAATTTTAGTGATGGTCTCATTGCAAGAAACGAGAATAATATTTTAGAAGAGCTTCAAATGCATGGTTGTGGTAATACTGCATTATTTCCTATTCCCTAACCATTCATTATCCCATGATGTAGCCATTTTTAAAAAATATCTGTTCCTTGCACCTGACACAGAATTTTCAAACCAAAAACTAATTCAAATTTCAGCCTTTACCTTACGAAGTATCATAGAAATGCTGTACATTTGAAGAAAACAGGATGGATCTCCTTCATCCAAATCTAATTCATTTTTCATGGCAACCCATGGGCCTCTCTCAAATTCTTCTTCTATTGTTTGCTGGGAAATAGGCATTTCCTAAAGGAATAGCAGAAAATCCCAGATAAAGATTTACCTAAAATCCACTGCAGAGCAACATATTCATCTTAGAAATGCATTATTTATTTTGGTGATACATTAAGCAATTAGATATCTGAAACACTGCATTCATCTTTCTATATACTCACCTTTCTCACTACCTTTACTTTTATCAAGCATTTTTTTTTGGGGGGGGGGGGAATACTGATGTATACAAAAGTAAATCTTCAACTTACCACCACAATTGAACCCAACATTTCCATTGCTAAGCAGGACAGTTATTGAGTTGTACCCCATTTGTGCTGCAGTTGTTAAGTGAATCTCAGGACCACATGATACATTTACTGTCTACTTTTGAATAGTTAGGCATGGGATACAAAATTAATCCAGATATAGGATGTAAGAAGAATAGTCTTATTTCACCCAAGCCCCAATTCACAGACCCAGTAAAAAAAACCTTACTCCAAAATGCAGCTACTAGCTAGAAGGGGGGAAACTGGTCAAAAGTACCCATATAGGCTCATTTTAAAGACTAACAAGCAGATTGAAAGCAGCATGGTTTTCTAATAATAAGTTTAGTATCTTAAGTCTATAGCCTATTTTTCAATATCAATACAAAATTTTCAAAAAGAAAATGAAATTACCTCAGTTCGTAATTTTGCTACAGCCCCATGAGTTGGCATCTGGGGAGTTGCAATGAGAATTTCATCCAGGTTTTTCCCGCTAGGCTTTTTAAACAAAGAGGAAAAAAAGTAAAAAATGTATATCATCTATGGATATTTTTAAAAAGCCCTCTTATTCTTTAATTGCTTAAATAGAAGCAGAGATTTCTTAGGATACTCAAAGTGGTACTGTGGAGAAATTCTGTGTTTCAAGTCATCCTACTTATAAAGCTGAAGGTATTAAATGCTAAAATTATTAGATCTAATATACACCCAACAGAAAACTCGAGAGAATAATCTTTGCAGTAAAGGCTGAGGCCTTTACCAGGCAGCATATGCAGAAGTTTCATTCTTTAATTTTTTCCCTATCTCAATTAGAGTAACTTTAAGTCACAAAATGTTTTGGAACAGAGTAGCTAAGCAACAGAACAAATCCATAATGGCAGACTGAATAATCTCCAATATGAAGACAACACACCCAACAACCTTTTTGGAGTAAAGATAATAGATGATAGCTTTTATTCCTTTTTATGGATTGTAGCTACTATAGGTTTTTATCGAAGTAGTACTGGAATAAGTATTTTATATTAGTAGTTCAAAAGTATTTTAAAAAGGTTTTTTCCCAATCTTTTGATCTATACACTTACTGTATCTCCTGAGTGTTCTCTTACTTGTTGAGGCAGAATGCCTGCTGGTCCTGGGAAGCGACGAGTCTTAGTTCGCAGAGAAACATGAGCCATTGGCTGAGGTGTCTTGCTGGTTGCTGTGACCAAACGGACAAGATGGTTGGTGACAACAGGAGTCTGAGGCTTTCCAGAACCCGCAACTGAACTTGGGGCTTTAGGGATGACAGGAGGGATTCCAACAGTTGCCACTGAAGGACCATATGTGATATGGAGTTGACCACCATTATTAGCCATTCTAGAGTCAGAGCAGCTGGGGCTAAATATCCGTGATTTGGACAGCCTTGAAGGAGTACTTGTTGAAATGAAGGGAGAACAGGGTCTAATTAGTGGTAAGGAAGGACTATTGCATTCAGAAGTGGATTTTTCCAAAGATGACTGAACAGGCTTTATCATCTGAATACTGGAATTAGAAAGGGAGCCAATACTGTTGCTCATCCCTAAGTTAGCCTGGGGAAAACCAGAATCTATGGAGGGAGGCCGCAGATTTGACTCTGAAGAAACTCCCACTGGCTGTAGATGGCTGACAACCTCATCAACAATTTCTTTTCGAGTTTTTGTCATTTGTGAAGTATCCAATCCAACAGGATTCATTGGTGTCATTGAGTTTGTGACTTGTCGTTTCTTGGCTGTTTCTAAGTCATTGTCTCTAATCTGTTTCTGGGAACCACAGTCAAATCTGAAAGACTCTGGGTACATACTAGATTCTTCTAAATCCATGCATGCAGCCAGTACAAGTTCATTGTCAATATCATCCCTGGGGGAAGTCCCAGAGGAAAATATAACTGGAGGCCTGTTCACAAATTTAAATCTCTTGCCTGAAGTGCTACCTGATTCGCACTTGGCTAGTAAGCCTGTTGGGTCCTTTTGAACCTTGAAGCTGCTTATCAGGGGAAGCATATGATTGCTTTTGGTTTCAGTAGTGCAGATACCTTCTCCAAATTGAAATCTGGAACAGTTTTGTACCTGTGAAATAGGGGGCATACTCTCTGAAAAGCTACGGGTGCCCGAATCCTTGACTGGCATGAAGGCATTGTCAGGAGCTCTTAACCCTGCAGAAAGGGGTCTCAGACCTCTTAAATTAGCAGATGTTGTGTCTAGAGTCTGCTTCTCCACATCACTCACAGCCATCAAGAAATCCTGTAGAAAAAAAAAAAGATAAACCTCGCATGAAAAGTGGTATTTCAGCTGTGTACATAGATTGCTTGGGGATTTCAGATTCTCAGAAGCAAGCAATGATTAAATAGCGAGATTTCATCTTAGATTAGACTACAGCCTTTCTTCATTAAGTAGAATCTCTTGTTCCTTCTACTTCAACTGGCTTGATCACTTACTTTCCAATTATGATTCAGAAATGTTCCCTTACCTCATCTTCAAATTCAGCCTCCACAGAAAACAATTTTTGGAGCTTGCAGGCCTGTAAGAGCAATTTAATAATTTGCAAGATTAACTCTAAAAAGGTTTTTTACTTTAAAACATTCACTAGAAGTTATAATGAAGCTGTCTTTCCTGTGTTACAAATACTACAAACTGAAATCACTAAATGATTAGGGGATGCTAAAAATACTGTTTGCTTCCTGGAGACTTAACATAGCTGAAAACAGAATACTATATCTAGCAACACAGTTCTCTCTTAAATCCAAGAATCTAAAAAAGAAATGGCTTTTTAGATAATTTTAAAGACAAGGAAAGACTTCTTTACAAAATTGCATAATTCTGCTAACCAATAGTATCCAAAATTAGAATTTGTGAATTCTTCTTAAAATTAATTCTAATTGTACAGAATTCTAATTTTAAAATGCAGGAACTGCTCTTCGTTTTGCTTTTCATAGGCTCCATACATTGCTTGCATTCACAGACCTGGCAACAGATGTGAGTTGAATTATCGAAATAAATCTCATTTATAGATTTTAAAAGTAATCATTACTTTTATGCTCAGATACTTTGTATTGCATGAAGCTTTTGGACTTCATAAAGAATCATGAATCTTTGACGTTACTTGTTCAGTGCAAAATAAACATTAAGTTATAATTTTACTGAGATTCATGAAATATCACTCAAAAATAACTTAGTGAAAACACAATATTTCATGGCATACAAAATATTAGCAGATTAGTCTAATACATTTCCATAGTTATAACAAGTCTTGACTATTTAAAGCAGTGGTTCTCAACCTTTTTATACTGGCGACCCCGGTCATAAGGACACGCCGCGCATGCACGGCGGCCCCCCATGCGCGGCGTGCATGGCGGCGGCCCCCATGCGCGGTGCCGCCAGCTGAGGAAAAAAATGACGGATCGCGTTGTTTGGTGACCCCCGTGAAATGGTCATTTGACCCCAAATGGGGTCGCGACCCACAGGTTGAGAACTGCTGATTTAAAGGGATATATCTATATAGATATAGATGATATCATCATCACTGTTAAATGTATATACCACCTAATTCTCAGTGATTCTTGGCAGTTTACAAATGATTTCAAACATAAAAATATGGTAATAAAAACAAGAACAAAAAGGGGTATATATGGCATAACAACAAACTGAGTAGAAACCAATATGAATTGTACAGATTGTAAATCTGCACAAATATCTTTTATACCTGTCAGTATATATTTGCTGCCTTTTGCTTTTCTCAACTTTTCCATATCTTTGCTTCTGAGTCTTATCAGTTTCATATGCATCCTTGTAATATATAAGAATGGGGGGGGGGAAGTAACACCAAAATCTGGTTTTTGTTTTATTTATTTGTTATTTGTTTCATTTATTTCATAAAGTTATTCAATACGCCAATCTGAAAAAGATAATTGTCTCCTAATTGGCTACAGCATCTTTAGTTACAATCACCGTGACAATACATCTCTGTAACAGGTGATCTCACTTACTAAAAAATTTTGGACTATTCCTGCCTTGTGAACTGCTACAACTTAGGCATATCTGGGGGGTTTCTAACAATTGTTCATTGTGGTCCTGCTATATTTCTATGGCAGTGGTTCTCAACCTGTGGGTCGGGACCCCATTTGGGGTCGAACGATCATTTCCCGGGGGTCGCCAAACAACGCAGTCTGCCATTTTTCTCCCTTTTCCTTAGCTGTGCTATTCCCTTTTATTCTATTGGCTTTTGAAAGCCAATAGAATAGACTCTCTTGAATAGAGTCTAATTCTATTGGCTTTCAAAAGCCAATAGGAATTGTCCAGGCTGTCTCTGCCCTGCTGAGCCCGCCAAAAATCCCATTCTACAAACGGTGCTGCACCAATTGAGTAGTCCTCGACTTACGACCAGTTGGGGGTCACAGCATTAAAAAGGTTGAGAACCACTGTTCTATGGAATTAAGATTAGTGCTTCTGAAACTTGGCAAAATTATCCAAAATTGGGTAAAAGTGCTTTCTCTTTAAGTAATGATACACGAACCCATTACCCAACCATAAGAGAAACACTTAAATAAGGACTTTCTGATAAAACAGTTAAAGTAGACTTTCTGACAAGTGGATTTTTTTAGAAAGGAAAATAGTGGGAAGAACTGAGTTAAGAGCTAAATTTCCAGTTAGTCATTTCAAAACAATGAATTTGTTCTTATTCATATATGTTCTTGCAGATTTGTTTACATCTTTCATATCATTGATCCATTTGTGCTTCAACTGATAGATAATGGCCTGATACTTCTAGACTCTAGAGCAATGTTTCTTAAAACTTTTTTTCTCTCAGACCCCTTTACACTTTTAAAAAATATATAGGATACCACAGAGCTTCTCTTTGTATGGATTATATTTATCAATATTTACCGTATTAAAAATAAAACTGACACATTTATTACCACCTCATAATAGTTTGATGGGATTTTAATATTGTATTGTTTTTCAATATAGACTGGCAAATAATTAGATTTCATGGTGTAAGGTCCCAGTCCCTTACTTAAACTTGAGATACTATATCAATCTAATCAGATAACCCAAGTGGAGACTTCTTGATCAAGCAGCACTTTATTTGATCAAATTAAGAAGCTGGGTGGCCAACAATCTGGAACGCTGGCAGAATTACGTCCAGAAGTGCCACGCCTTAGAAAGTTGGTAGCATTGTTTTATAAATTTTCTTAACCAGTGAAAATCAGACAACAGAGCCATTACATCATAAAGAAGACATAAATCATTCCTGTACACTCCCTTATTCCCTCCTTCAATATATCCCATCTACGTACATGTTTCCCACACTTGCATGAAATTTCTCTGGTGCAAAAACCGATTACAGAAAGCAAGAAAGCAACAGTTAGACTAAACAATTTCCCTTTGTTCCAGAACCCTTTAATGGAAAGGGTTTTTGGGAGAAAACCCTATGGTCCCTAGGATTACACTTAAGAAATACTGTTTGTTTATTTGTTTATTTAATTTGAATTCCATTTACAAATAACTCAAGATGGTGAACATCCAACATACCCTCTTCCTTCTATATTCCCCACAAAAACAATCCTGTGAGTTCAGTTGCGCTGAGAGTAACTGACCAGTCATCCAGATGGTTTTCATGGCTAAAGCGGGACTTGAACCTGCAGTCTCCTGCATTCTAGCCTGGTGCCTCAACCATTAGATTCAACCACTAGACCAAACTATTCTATAGATGTCTCTGGTATATTGTGGAATTCATTATTTATTTGCATCCCTCATTATTTTTATAAATAACTCAGGGTAGCAAACATATCTAGTACACTTTCCTCCTCCTACTTTTCCCACCTCAATAACCCTGTGAAGTGGATTGAGCTGAATGAGAATGACTAGTCCAAAGTCACCTAGCTGGCTTTCATGGTTAAGGCAGAACTTGGAAGTCATGGTCTCCCACTTTCTAACCTGGTATCTTAACCATTGGCTCAAATATTCTTTTAATGATGGTAAGATACCCAGTTTGAGACATTAAAGTACTCCCAGTTTTAATTGATTTCTGTTGGGTTTTTATCTCTATTCATCATCCAAAGATATATTGGTTAAGATATACGGCAATATAAATTTAATAAATAATAGACCATTATATTACCTTCACTGTGCTTAACAATTCTTATTAGATTCATATTATGGAATGCAATGGTTGATTTCTGCAAACATATCAACATTCATAGAAACCTAAAATTTCACTTTCTACTCATTTACTCATAGAACATATAGAAGTATATAAAGTAATCCAATTGCTTTCTGGCACGTTCAGTACACTTACACTTAGTGGACATGGCTTCCAACTTTCTATTTTACAGAAACCCAACTTTATCCAGTGCTTTTCTGACAACGGAATGATAAATACTGGCTTTAAGCAAGGCAAGAGAAGCTGCAAATTCCTGGAGGGTTTTGGAGGGTTTTTTTGTAACTTCCTGGATAATGTTATACCCAAGTTCTAAGAGTGATTTTAACAGGGTGCCACTCTTGGAAAGATTCTGTTTTTCTTTTTTTTCCCATTCCATTTTCTAAAATAAAATTATTTTCAGCAAGGCATGATATGTTTCCAGAATCTTATGAGGCTTCATTGCAATAAAGATAACCAAATATTTATTCAAAGCAAGGCTGACTCAAATCAACCCTATTTAATTTAGTACAGTACTGTACTCACACAATCAACACTTGGTATTCATTTAATTGAATTGATTAAACTGGAGTATGGCTTTCTCTCACTGGCATGTTCCATAACTTTATGAAATAAAAGTACCTGCCTAAAATCATATTTAGGGGCAGCATAAAAATGGTCAGCATAAAAAAATTCAATAAATAAAAATAAATAAAATTTTGGTGTTATTTACCCAAGCATGCATAAAACCTAAGAGAAGCTTTTCACAGAACTGTAAAAGTGGAAAAGTGTAAATACGATTGCTGTGCCATGAAACATGAAGAAGAAAAAGGATATAATTAATTTGAATTTTATAGAGCCTTCATATGTTATGGGCATAGTCTCTCTCATGGTCACAAAATTCAATATTAATATTCAAAATCGGGAGTACATCCCTTGAAGTTTCCAGGCATTTTGCTTCAAACAATATCAACCAGCATGATTGAAAGAAAAGATTTGCAGCTTCAATTAAAAAAAAAAACTTTTCAAAAGTTAACAGGTTGTTTAGCTCAATTCTAAACTAATAAATAACAAGCATATTTTAATATACACCAAAATCTCCTTTTCATACTGCCTTATATCTCTACGTAACACACTCTCACATATTCTCTAGGGGCAAATTAAAAATTTAAATTCAAAGGCTTATTGCTTTTACGTTTACCGTTAGGTTTTGTACCCTTTGACCTTGTAACAGAAAACCACCTGGGAGATTTTTCCTCGTTGGCCACAGAGCTTCCTCCGTTTTTTTGCATTGAAACCAATGGCACCATTTAGCTCACTGACATTCAGTCATTCTCTATATTTAATTCCTCCCCCCAAGTTATGCCGGTCCTTCTTTACCATCGCAGAGTAAACGCTCCAACGCTACTATCGGGGATAAGGAAACAGAAAGAGAGAGCCTTAACGCCCGAAAGGCAGCCCCGCCATTGCTTTAAACGTCGCACTAGTGAACATTCGAATCAGCCATCCCCCGCTGACGGAAAGCGTGACGTTCATTCTTCTTCACTACGCCTGCGCAACGGGGAAAAGGCGTTATTTCTTTATGTACGCACGCGGTTGAAGTCCTGCCTCGTTTCTCTAAGTTATCCTTTGATTACGCAACCATAACCAAGATCCTAATTTGTGAGACCGCGTAAGCTGCGTTTGGCTCGCGATAAAGCCCAAATGATCCATTCATTTTTATTTAGCTTCCTCCTACCACTCAGAAGGTAGTTCCTACGTTTTGGAAAAATGTGTGTGCACAAAACATACATCACTAGGCTTAATTGAATCTAGTCTGATCATTAAATGAGACCTAATTAGATGAGATGCTGAATATTTCTTTGTCAAGAGCTCCTGATCCTCAGAATTTGTGCAACCTGCATATGGTTTCTATTCATACAACAGGCTGAATTTTCTAACACATATATGGTAATCAACAATAGTACAATCCTTTTCCTCCTCTGCCGTTACTATATGGCAATATTCCATCCCAACAGATTTCCTATGGATTCAAAAACAAATTAACTATAAATTCTATATTCCACAGAGAAAATTTAATTGTTCCAACATAACCAGATTTGTAAGCTCGAAGGCTGTCATCACTGTCTGCTAACTTTAAATGCTTACGATTTTATTAAGTAACTACATGATCAATAGGTGGTAGCATTTAGCTGACACTGACTTGTCCTGAAAAAAGATGTGGGAAAGAGTTAGATTTTAAATTAAGGAATTAAAAAATATATAGGAAAAAAAAGCAAATAGGAAATCACATTTTTTTTTACCAAGGAAGTACATGAGTATGTCCATGTTATCACTATTAATCAAGATTAATTAAGACTACATCTATACAGAGGAATGTAAGCAGTGAGGTACAAGGTTCTGTCTTAGTCCAATCCTCTTCAATATCTTCATAAATGACTTAATGTGGAATTCATCAAATTCCCAGATGATACTAAGCTGGCAGGAATAGCTAACACCCCAGAAGACAAGCTCAGGATCCAAAAAGAATGGACCATGGACCCTATCCAACAAAATGAAATGGAAAAAAGCAAGATTTTATACTTAGGCAGGAAAAACCAAAGGTACAAGTAAAGATTAGGCAAAACCTGGCTCAAAATCAGTAACTGTGAGAAGGATCTTGGAGTCCTAGTAGACCACAGGTCGGCAACCTGCGGCTCCAGAGCCGCATGCGGCTCTTTGAGCCTTCCCCTGTGGCTCCCAGCCTCCTCTGCCTTTGCAGAGAGAGAGAAAGACAGAGAAAGGCAATTGCGCTTCCCTGCTTCTCTCTCTCTCTGGTGTGTGTGTGTGTGTGTGTGTGTGTGTGTGTGTGTGTGTAAAAGAGAGTGCACTCACAGTGTTCTCCGAGGAGCTGAAAAGCTTACTGGACGGAGCTCCTCCCTTTGCTGCGTCTCTGCAGGAAGCAGGAAGGGTAGGAGAGAGCTAGCTAGCCCAGCTAGGCTGACTCAGGAATTCTGGGAGTTGAAGTCCATGAGTCATAAAAGACACGAGGTTGCCTACCCCTGAGCTTGTTGGACAACAGCTTGAAGCTTGCCAGGTGAGCAGCAGATAGGAGGGGGGAGAAAGAGAGGAAGAGAAAGAGAGAGAGAGAGAGGGAGGGAGGAAGAGAGAGAGAGAGAGAGTGGGGGAAGAGGAGTGGCAGACCAAGGGCAGATAGAGAGGGAGGGAGAGAGAGAGACAGAGAGAGAGAGACCCTTTTGATATCTAAAATGAAGATAACACTGCATATATCCTTTTTTTACCTTTGTGTGTATGTAATTTTATTCTCTTAAAGCATTCTCTTGGTGATCATTGTTTTAATAGTATGGATATTCCCAAGAGTCATATTTTTACTTTTATTTTTAATGTGTGTGTGTGTGTATGTATGTATGTACACACACACACACACACACCTATAATAGAGGTAAAAAAGGATATATGCAGTGTTATCTTCATTTTAGATATCAAAAGGGTTTTGCGGCTCCCGGTGTTTTGTTTTTGGTGGGAAACGGGTCCAAGTGGCTCTTTGAGTGTTTTGGGTTGCCTACCCCTGTAGTAGACGATCACTTAAACATGAACCAGCAGCCAAAACAGCTAATAAGATAAGATAGATAAGCTTTATTGTAATTTTTTACTGTGAGCATACTGGCACACATTAAAAATGAAATTGTTGCCTGCTCTCAAAAGTGTACACATACATACCACACATATAAACATACTATATACAATATGTGTATATACCTACACATATGTTGTTGTTGTTGTTAATTGCGAAGTCGTGTCCGACCCATCGCGACCCCATCCTTGTAGAAAACGTAAGAGACTTTTACGAATTCCAGAGGGTTTAGCAGAGAGATTTATTGCGCAAGTTTCAGAAGCAATAACAACAAGCAATTCTGAACACCTAGGGCGGGTTCAAACTTTTCAAAGTTTTATACTTTCCCTTTCTCAGGAACAAAGGAGCACACATAGAAATCTACATTGTAATACATCAGATTCATTTCTCATGGGCACACAATGGAGAATCTGCTACATACATTGTTTCCAAGTGCAATGCGCATTTGGTTAGTCAGATTGCTAACACAGCTTTATTCCAGTAATTATGCAGACACATCATTGTTTTAATGATTTTTCATTATTATTATTATTATTTCACATTATTCTATATTATTCTACCTTATTCCCCCCTTTGGAAGTTTTCTTGATTAAACTTCCATCATTCTACCTCTGATTCAGGATCTTTAGTGGTCACAATTTTATATTCCCATAAAGCTAACATTGTTTCATGTTTTGCAGTTAATTGGGCTGTACTTTCTGAGATTCTTCGAATCATCATTATAACACAGGGGAGTAAGCAGGGAATCAAAATACATCCTAGAATTAACAATACTGCTATAACTATAATGGTTTGTAGGCCTGGTAACTTTGGCCACCATCCTGAAAATATGTCTTCCAGATTAAATCCTTTCCAGGTTTGCACCTGAACATGAGCTAGTTTGACCATTCTGTCTGTTATGTCCTTCAACACTTTTCCACTTTCATCTACTTCGATGCAACAGTTTGTTAGGTTGAATTTTCCACATACCCCTCCTTCTTTGGCCAACAGATAGTCCAAGGCTAATCTATTTTGCATAATATATGTCCTTGATTTCACATTTTCTTTGGCCAATTCAGTTAGTCCCTTCACAGTCTCATTAGTGATTAACTCTACCACCGCTTGTAACCTAATGAGCCTGTTGAGCATATAAATAGGGGTACAGTATCCGTACATTCCATCCTCAGCCCAAGTAGCCGGGCCATAAACTAGGATAATGTGGCAAGGTGGCCATTCATGTTCTTGCCAAGTGATTCCTGCGCATTGGGTGTATGCATTTGGTTCCCTTCTTTGTCTTATATTGCCAACTTCATCATAGATGGGAACTCCAAGAAGTTGCTTAGTTTTTAATGGTAACAGGAAAAATCCTGGTCAAATTATTCCCAATACACAAGATCCACACCAGTTCTTGGGTAGTTGTCCGTATGCCATTTTTCTGCAAATCCAGTACATTCCATCTGGGGCTAGCCAAAGGAGACTGATATTTGTGGGGTCTTTTAGATATGGCATCCCAGATACGTTAGTAAGGGCATAACGATCCATAGTAGTGGTTTCGTTGGTTCCAGACCACCATTTATTGTTTTCCCAAGTCCCTGTGCATAGGAGGTCACCTACTGCTACGCAAGATTCTGTTTTGTTCCTTGAGTAATATACATGTCCTACCAAGTTGGAAGTGAGAGTCCAATCACCATCTTTCCCGTTTGTATAGGTTAAACTATTATTCTCAGACATTTCTAGTACCTTGGTATAATTTAACTCTTGTGCCTCCCATGGCCATTTTTCTCCCATATTTGTTCCACCACACACAAAACAGTTAGACACGCCTAAAGTATGGGCAATATCTTCAGCTAACTTAACAAAGGTATTGACTACCTGTCTAAGTATTTCAGGAATATTTGTTTTCTCCATTTCCTCATAATATGACCAGAATAATTATTTTTGTTCTGATCTTTTGGTTGCAGTTATAATTTTGATTTCTACCTCTGATATTGGGTCGTAGCTGTTGGCATCTATTCCTATCCCAAACATCCAGTTTTTTCTTTCCCATCTATTTTGTTCCAGGAACCAACTGCCATTCTTGACTGTGAGAGTCACCAAGTTACAGTTGTCCCTTCCACAGGAGTCTGCTTTTGTATTATTATTTTCAAACAAGATGTGTTCCATCTCCTTCGGGTCTTGGGTATGCCACTTAATACATGACCACCACTTACATTTGACCGTGGAGACTGCACATCCATCCGGTGGGCCCAAGTACTTATGGTTTGGGATATAGCTGTGGATATGATTGATCCCTCCGCAACCATATATTGCAGCCCAATAATTAGCTGCCTTACAAACATCAAAGGTGACGCTAAAACTGGAGTGTGGGCTGGATTTCCATTGGGAGATCCCTAATAGTGCCTGGTCCCTAGAGCTACTTCTTGTTCTATGTGTTCGGATCTGCAAGACCCAGCTGTCAGGATCAGACTTCGGGTTATAACACTGATCTTGGACCCCTTTTCTACAAACTTTATATGTAGTTCTATTGTATGTACAGGAGCTAGGGGAACTATCTTGGCACCCTTCTGGTTTCATTGTATAATAAATCAAAGTCTTAGTTATCTGGTTTCCTTGTTTTGTAATCTTGATGCAGTTTCGACAACCCTGGTTCCCCTGTGTTTTTGTTCTTTCTTTGTGTGTGTATGTTCCCCATATTAAATAACTAACAGATATTACGAGCTGTAGAATCCTCATATCTTCCACCGTGCATAGAG